CCTCCTGCTGTTCTGCATCCACTCCCCTACCCCCCAGCTTCGTATTTTCCTGTAGGTCAGCAGTGGGGTCATGGCCTCGCATCTCAGTCACATCAGGGTCACATTTCCTGGTTGTCGTACATCAGGGGCCGACACAAAAAGAGGTTGCTGTGTTTACTGGAAGGAGACGAAAACTTCTGCAAAACTAGTAAAAAGCTGCTGTCAGTGCAGGTTTATTTCAGGTTAAAATCACTTGTGTCTGACTTGCTCATCCGTGTGTTTTCACACACACACAGCCCTTTCCTGTTGAATGCGAGTGTATTTAAAAGGAAGAGAAGAAATCAGTTTGTTGTTGGGAATTCATTTGATTGCTGCTCGACCTTTATGTTTCTGCTGGAGTTTAAGGTGGCCTTTAAAATAAATTAGATAAACTCGCTCTCTCGGGGAACCTCGCTGCAGATCGTTGCTGCTGCGCCGAAGTAGCCAGATTAAACCATTTTTCTCCGTTTCTGGTCCTCGCCGCTTTCCGTTCATTTGTGAACAGTTTGAAAATCAATTAACAGCCTCTTCAAAGCGTTTAATCTGCAGGAGTGGAGAGCAACGTGCACTGAAACAGCTTTTCTGATTGAACCAAAACACTCGATCTTCACCGTAACGAGCTCCACAAATCAAGCGTCAAGATTCGATGGATTTCTTTAGAGCGTACTGAAATGAAACGCACAACAAACGGGGATGACTCCGACAGTTAATGCGGAAGTTTTGAGCAAAGATCTTGTTCAGTGAGTAACGCACACGTGTTGAGAACAACTCTCAGTCAAATCAATTTGTCTGACTTGGAGCTATTTTTATATTTTTTAAGGTCAGTTGGCTGTGGCAGCCATCTTGATTTGGGTTGGGTCCAAAAGTTAATTATTTGTACATACTTGACGACTATTCTATGAAAGTGTCATTAAAATCTGAGATATTTTACTTACAGAGTTGACTCTAAATACTGTAGCTGCTGGCAAAAATTTAAACAAATATTTTGAGTGAACTGTTTGTGCTAAGAATATGAGTTGGGGATCAGTCTTGGCTGCTACTGGGCCTGTCGCGATAAACAATAAATCAATTAATCGCATGATTAATGAAAATTATTGACCTGATTTTCATTTATCAGCTTTGTTTCTTCGTGTCTCTCTCTTTCTACTGAAGACACTGGATGACAAAAAGTTCAACTCCAGTGCTCTTCACTGACCCCTCCCTTTCTCTTTTATCTTTAAAATGTGTTTTAACTGTCCAAAATCGTGTTTTTGGATCGTTAAAAGCAGCTAAGCTGAGAAACTAAGCTACGAGCTAAGCTAACAGGCCGACCTCGGGAATAAACCTGTTTTGTTGAGCTCCAGAATTCACAGTTGAAACTTGTACCTTTGTGTAAAAAGTTGTTTTTTTTCTGCAAAAAGAAGCTAAGAACTTGTTTATTGATTTTTTTTATTAAAAGCTTTGTGTGAAAAATGCTATGCTAAAGAGCTCAAACCACACAGAGCGTCTGCCACATCTCTGTCAGCCCATGTCACGTCAAGGGCCCTCCCTCCTATTTTACTGCCATCAGGTGGTCAAAAAAGGTACTACACACCAAACAAATCGACATTTCTTCTAAAAGTTGACAATTAATTATTGTTAAATTTCAAACAATATTATCGTTTATCGCAATAATTTCTGAGAGAATTAATCGCCCAGCAAAATTTGTTATCGTGACAGGCCTAGCTACTACCACACCATTTATTAACGCAACATCTGTAAAATTTAGGCAAAGCCACCTTTTTGTTTGTCAAAGTCAGTTGGCTGTGGCAGCCATCTTGATTTGGGTTGACTTCAAAAGTTCATCAGTTGTATGTCTGCATCTAAAGATTAACTTCTGTAAATTTAGATGAAATTCACTCAGCGATTGATGAGCTATTTTGTTAAAAGACAGAAAAGAGAGCAAAATATTGTCATTTGACTATAATAAAGTAAATGTTTAACATATAGATGGAAAAGAAAATGATAAAGAATCCCCAGAAAAATCATGCAACTGTTCACTGGAGCTTTGTGTGCAGGGAAACATGTTGTGTTTTACTCTTCCAGTCAGACTCGATGGGGTTTCCCAGTCAGTCGATAAAAAATCTGCTCTCTGCCAGTAAAGGACTAGAGCAGGTCTGCAGGAAGTGAACATTTTTCATTGATGCAGTTTATCATTTTCTCTTCTTTCTATTTCAAAGTCACACATGATCCAGCATCCAAATCTCAACTGTTTCTTCTGTTTCCTTCCTCTTTTCTGGCTATTTCTGCTTCATGGGAGAACTCATGATTTCACAGGATTTTAGCTGCTTTCCTGTGAGGCCTCGTCTTGTTCATTGCAGGTTTTTTTTTTTTGCGGGCTCTGAGTAGTCACCTCCCGGAGCCGAAGATTAAAGACGGGACAATAACGTTTTTACTTACCTGTGTGCGTAAGTTCTTTTGTGTTGTTAGCGACATAGCTCAGCATAGCGAATCCGCTAACTTGAGCTATAGCTGTGGTCTGACAAACGTCATGAAAGATCCGGATTAAATGAGACCTCGAGCTCGTAATTCCTGTGAGAATTCGGATCAATAACCCATGTGATTCAGTGACGGACCATCTCTGATCACTACATGGCACGAGACTGTGAAAGATAAAAGTTTACCCAAAATAGAAACCATCTTCTCAACATGATCTTAGTTTGAAACACTTGAATGAACGATAGTGGCCAATATGCATTTCTTCAAAGAATATTAGACCTTTATTTGACATGAGCTCATTGCTGATGATGGAAGATTTTATTAATTTTTGTTAACTGAAGCAGTAGAGCATCAGAAATTCCTGCTGACAATAAGGGCGACTGGGACAGTAGCGGGAGTCTGTGACCTTTCGTTTTTAGCAAGCAGGTGATAATTGTCCAGTCCTAATCTAAAGAGTTTGTCTTGGTGCACAATTATTAATATTAAATTAATAACTCCACCATGGTTACTATAGCTGAAGCTGAAGCTTTGAAACAGCTTGGGTCAGCTGTAATTATGTGGATATACAGTATGGTAATTTAACATTTATGGTACTTGATCACTTTTAGCCCAATTACCTTTAACAAAAATCAAATCGTATCAACTTTCATCTGTTCACAAGGCATGAAGGAACTATTTTTCAGCTAAATTAGTGAGCATTTACAAATAGATGGATTTTATTGTTATATTTTAATTGTACAAAATAAATTTTTAAGAGGAAAAACATTTTTTTCTACCAAAACATTGGAGTAGCAGATTATAAGGTCATAATTTAAATATATGTATAATGTTAAAGTTGCAAGTTTAGACAATTTTTCAGTGTATAGAAGAGACACAAACTGTCAACAATTATAGCCAAGAAATGAGGAGAAGCAGAAAAGAAAATACTCCTTTGAAACAGACCATTTTCCTCTTGAGGCTTCCGCAATGCAGGAAAATCCTTTTATATAACGTTTAGTGTCATTGTGAAGCTCGGGGATTCCCCTTTTTAAAAATAGGGCATGGATTCCTAATGACATAACCTTGTTGCCATGCCAGGTTATAAATTTCACAATTTAAATAAACTACAGATCTACGGATATGGCTTTTCAATCAATCAATCAATTTTATTTATAAAGCTGATAATAGATGGATAATATGTAGTATAGCTGTGTGTTATCAGCATAACTGTGAAAATTTATTCCATGGCTCCTGATGACCCCACCAAGCGGCAACATGTACAAATTAAAAAGTAAGGGGCCTAAAATAGAGCCTTGGGGGACGCCATAATTAGCGTCATGGATCTGCAAGAAGCATGTATCCATACTTACCATAAAGGTTCTATCTGCAAGATAGATAGGCTTTGGAATATATTATGGAGGAAATTGATATAAATTTGTGTGCTTTATGTGAGATTGTTTTCAAAGTTGCAATGTTCTGATGCCACAAGTGTTTATATAAACAGTTTAATAATGATAATTAAAACTTGTCAGTGACAAATGAGATTCAAGTAGTGGTATAATCAATATTGCATAAATCAAGTTTTTTTTTTAATAGGACTACATTTCCGTGCCAAGAAACTTATACATTTTATTGTCTGAAACTAAATCTGTCGGAAAGAGAGAGAAAATGAAACTAGTGATTAGCTATTAAAGTTAATATTTACTGGCATACTTAACCCTTCTGCCTTAGTTAGCTTATGTGGGGCAACAGTATTGTTTATGAAGTGGAGGTCAGAAAAAATACCAATATTCTGTCTATGAAGTCGAAATTTTTAAAATTAAATATTTAACTGACGTCACAACTTTATTAATGTGGAAAGCTAAAAAGAAATCCTATAGTTAGTGTTGACTTAGGTTTCCTGCGCAATCCCTTAGTTTAGCTATTGTAGTTTTAGACTGCTGGAAAATGAACTGACCACATCTGAGTCTGTGCACTTTTCCTGTTCTCATAAGATTTGTATTCTCTGTTCCCTTTACACTCATGAATTGTATGTTTTGTGATAGATGTTTGTGTCTGTGTGTTAATGGTCATCTGTAAAACAGGAAGAGTAAAATAAAGAAAAGACTCTAACAAGGTCAGGTCCTCTGGAAGGAGTCTTCTTTGTAATGAAACAAAAACCTTACAAAGAAAAATCCGTCCAGAGGACTTAACCTTGTTAGATTTATCTACCTGGATTATTGAGCATGCATCAGGACATAAAGAAAATAAATTAAATGTAAACATATTTTCCATACAAGCAGCAGCAGAACAGAAATCTGATGGGCTAGGAGGATTACAGTTGGTCATATGGTCTTTGTTGTGGCATCAATTGATGTTTTATTTAATTAGAAGCTCCTTCTCTGAAATAAAAACATTACCCAAGGAAGAAACCCAAGAAACCAATTTGTTCTAATAATATGTTCAAGGCTTGTAATGTCATTATTTGAACCATTTGTGTTCCTGTAATGCTTAATAAGATGTTGATTACCAGGTGAGTGACTTTTTTCCCTTCTTCTGTCCTTCAGAGTGAATCGGTCAAATACTTCCTGGATAACTTGGATCGGATTGGACAGCTGGTGAGCCTCCCTCCAGATCCTGCAACTTGTTCCTGCATTTCTCTCAGCCTGAAAGTAAACGAGTCTTCTCTCCCGACAGAACTACATTCCAAGCAGGCAGGACATTTTGTTTGCAAGAAAGGCGACTAAAGGGATTGTCGAGCACGACTTTGTCATCAAAAAGATCCCTTTCAAGATGGTGGACGTTGGAGGTCAGAGGTCGCAGAGGCAGAAGTGGTTTCAGTGTTTCGACGGGATCACGTCGATACTATTCATGGTGTCTTCATCAGAGTACGACCAGGTATAAATTTAAACACACACAAGTATACATCCATCCATCAACTGTACCCGCTTCTTCCGATCCGGGTCGCAGGGGTCACTGGTGTCCAAGTCCAGCTGTCACTCCAAAAGGCGTGGCACTCCTTGGACAGGTCAAAAGGTCGACACAGGGCATGTCAAAAACATTTAAACACTTTTAAAACTATAATATGTGACCAATGGCATCAGACATATTTGTAATGTGGGGGAAGGGGACACACTGGTGGTGGTGGGGGCAGGGGGGGGGTCTGGGGGTCCTCCCCCAGAAAATTTTGAATGAAGTAGATGCCATTTCCTGCATTCTGGTGTATTTTAATGACTGTGGTGAAGCCTTCCATTCAGAAACCTTACTGTCGCTCAAATCCAGAGAGCTCGATTACAGCAGCTGTATTTGCAATGTTGTGTATGCCCCCTTTAAAGGCTAAAAACGTCCAAAAAAAACATTTCACCTAGATTTTCTTTAATTCCACACATTTAAAGCATGTTTCTCACCAAGTTTGTGGAAATTCAGCTTTGGGGTTTTAAATAGAAATCAACTTTAATGTGCAGCGTCAAGTTGGCACTATTTGTGTTTATAGAGAAATTAAATAAATAAAACGACATTACCACTAGACTTTTACTTGTGTTCAATAATACTCATCTAAAATATGTTTCTCACCAAGCTTGAGGACAATAAGTTGTAGGGTTTTAACAAAATGCCATCTTTAATGCAACTTAACACATAGCATCTTACACTTACAGCGTCGCACACTTAGCATAGTGCTAAGCTAGCCACATGCAATATGGATGCGCTAGCTAAAATGCTGCAGATGTAGCGCTCCACTTCTCTCAAGCATCCAAAACTCCCCAGTCAGCAACTGCCCGCACTAACTCAGCGCTAAGCTAGCATGCAACACAGAGGTGTCTCCCCGTCCTCCCCCTATGAGCGTCCTGCCAAGGCAGGAGAACCACCGCTGCTGTGTGGAGAGTTGTAGGTAACCAGGAAAACCTGGAGTGGACTTTTAGTGGTTTGAGTATTCTCTTATTAATCAAGTGGAATGGATTAGTTCACGAAGAAACAGAAACAGCGCTGAGTGAACTAATGTTTCATGGTAAACGTGGGGGGGTCCAAATGAACTTATTTTATATATATAATTGATGCAACACCTATGTATATGACATGCTGGCAAAATGAGTCACATTGAGAAATTTATTACAATTATTATTTTCACATTCTTCATCACAAAAGTTTCTAAATGTAATTCATAGTTTGTCGAAATTTGGTGATTTATCACCAGGCCTGACACCAAGTTAGTTCTATTTGTGAGAGTGCTGGTTTGAAAACCCTGTGGTTGTTTTGGGGGTTTGGACTAACATCATCAGGAATTCCAGCCATTTATTTACCGTATTTTTCGGACTACAAGGCGCACCAGATTATAAGGTGCATTAAGCAAAACAAAACAGTGAAATAAGTCAAACTTTATTCAACTCATTCACAATAACCACATAAAATCAGTTCGAGGTCAGTAAGCACAACCAGAATTAATACATGAGGCGCACCTGATTATAAGGGTCACTGTCGATTTTTGAGAAAATTAAAGGATTTTAAGTGTGCCTTATAGTCTGAAAAATACTGAATTTTATTTGTATATTTGCCTAAACTTCACAATGACACCAAATATACGAAGGGATTTCCAGGCACTACGACAGGCGGCTGAAAAGAATGTCTGCTTCAAAGGGAATTAAAATTATTATATCGAAACATACCTGTTAGAATTCTTTAATTTAAGGTTGATTAGGAAGATTAGAGTTACTGGGATCACTAGATTGTATTTTTTATGAACTCTTTTTACGCTAATCTCCAATACGACAAAAATCTAAATCTTTAAGTTTTTTGCTCTGCAGCCTGTGCTCATTTGAACTCGTGTACACACCCTTTTAGTGCCTCTGTCTCAGGCCTGCTTCAGCTGGGGTAAATGGAGTAAAAAGATCAATAATGTAATACGAAACACTGCCTTTCAGTGATTTAACGAGTTGTACGTTTCAAAAATTAATTACTTGAGCAACAAGGTGAAACAGCAGTGATGTGGTCATATAGTGGAGCTCTTGTTGGAAGCACAGGGAAGACATTTTATCACGTTTCTCAACAAATAATCTGTCGAGACATCGGCAGGAAAAACATGAACAAGGGTCTATACATCCCTGACGAAAAATAAATATTTACAATCTAATGTAGGCCATGCTGCTGCTGAGTGGATGTTAATAATCTTAAAATGTTCAACTTTAGATCAGTAATCATTCCCAGATCTTTAGCTTCATTCTCTCCCAGCAGAACATTTATCATAGTTGAGGTAATTATTGAAGAGCCACTCATTGATTTGAATCACAGCCCAGTGTGTGACCCACCTCATCATATCATCTTCTAAAATGTCGCCATTAGGAAAAGGTGTGCTCTGTTTTGTTTCTATGGCAGCACATAAATAACTTTAGATGTTAATTTGCAAATGATTGACTGCTTTGTGTAAATAAATTCCTTACTTGCTTGGCTGCAAACCCAACCAACAGCACTGTTTTATCATATTAAATATATATTCTTCAGTTTGTATATTGGATTACTGCTCAGACGTTACAATAAAACAGATGGCAGTTCTTGGTTTTAAAAATTGTATCTGGTATCTTTTTTGTGATATTTTTATCAAATTAATCCTCAATCTGGATCTGCCTCCTCAACCACTGTTCTTATTAAAGAGAAAAAAGAAAGTTTAGACTGATTTTAGTCCAAATTATACACAGTTTATCTGTTTTAGGTCTTTTTGCTTTCATTTGAAGTCATTGAGAGTCTTCGCACCATTTATTCACCAAGAGTCCTATCACTATTTGGTCATCAAAAGTTTCTCCCCCTTGTGGTCATGAAGAGGTCTTCTCTACTTTTGATCATTCTGGGTCTTCTCACCCTTTGATCAATAGGGTTTTTCTTACCCTTTAGTCATTAAGAGTCTTCTCATCCTCTTGTCATTGAGGGACTTCTTACCCAGTAGTCATTAGGGGTTTTCACACAGTTTGGTCACTTCTCCTTTTTGCTCATTGTAGGTTTTCTCGCCATTTGATAATTTAGGGTCTTCTGACCATGTAGTGCGGGTCTGTTCAACCTTTAAGCCCCCAGTATACTCTCGCGTACATACGTCCGCAGAGGTACGCGCCAGGGTTGGCAAGGCTCAATTTTTACGTACGCGTACTGGGTGTCACACAATAAACTGCCTGGCGACGGACTGTTTTGTATGTAACACCAATGTATTAAATTCCCCTTCTTCATCCCTGATCTGGCCTTTTATTTTGTTTTTTTTTGCCAAGAGGCAAGTGATCTCTTCCTCCTCCGTTGATGCCATGACTGAAATGGTGAGAAATGAAGGTATTTGTCACAAGCGAATTAAAAATCAGGTCCTGCATTACTGCGGGAGGTGAGATTTCCTGGTGGGCTGATCTGATGTGTGGGCTGCAGGGCCAGTGCTCCCTGTTTTTTTGTTTTTTTTTAAGAACTTTTTATTAGCATATAAACACAGAACACATTGCTGCAGCTGGGGCTGCCTGCCTGCTCTAGTTTTTTTTTTTTTTTCGACCTAGGCGTGTCAGCAAATGACTAATCGGCTACCTCAATTTATCCCAAAGGTAAATGCCCCTCGTCTGCGGAGCTGCTCTGCAGCCGCTCAAGGTGGACGCTCGAGCATGAAGTCTCAACCCTCTGCGCACAGTTTCCGCGCAGCTGACAGGACGCGGGAGTATACTGGAGCCTTTAGTCACTAAGGGTTTTCTCACCCTTTGCTCATTGCAGGTCTTTTCATCCTTTTGTCATTGAGGATCTTCTCACCTTTTGGTCATTATTGGATCTTCTTACCCCTTTCTCATTAAGGGTATTCTTGCATTTTGGTCATTGTGGTACTTCTGACAGTTTGATCACTGAGGGTCTTCTCACACTTGTCATTCAGGGTAACTTCCCTCTTCCATCAATAAAGTATTTGCACCCTTTAGTCAATAAAGACCTTCTCACACTTTGCTTATTGTGTTTCTTCTCACTCTTTGGTCATTGAGGGTCCTCTGACACTTGGCTCATTGTGGGTCTTCTTACCCTTTGCTTACTGAAGCTGTTTTCACCCTTCAGTCTTTGAGTGTCTTCACCCTTTGGTCATGGGGATCTTCATGTTTTTTTTTTCATTTCGGGTCTTCCCCTTTACTGATCAGTGTGTTTAGACTGCAAACACGCTGGTGATTCAGGCACAACTGGCTGACAAAACCATTTTTGTAATGCCTTGAGGAAACCTGATCATTCCCACGGTTATGGCTTCGGTTCAGATCAAAAATCACATGACAGCAACTGAATCCCTGAATAGATAAGAAATGGGGGGGGGGGGGATAAATAAAAGATGATGTTGACTGTGTGTTTCTGCAGGTTTTGATGGAGGATCGCAGGACAAACCGTCTGGTGGAGAGCATGAACATCTTCGAGACGATTGTCAACAACAAGCTCTTCCTGAACGTCTCCATCATCCTCTTCCTCAACAAAACAGATCTGCTGGTGGAGAAGATCCGCACGGTGGACATCCGCAAGAACTTCCCTGAGTTCAGAGGAGACCCGCGTAGGCTGGAGGACGTGCAGGTACAGAACGTTTTCAATCCATCACTCGTACATTAGGAATTATTAAAGTGAGAAAATTTTAGGACTTTAAAAAAATGGAAACTATCTGTGGGAGTTAATGAGAATAAACATGGAATTTAAAATATTAGAGGTTAACTAAAACAACCAGATTTCATTGGTGTACCATGAAATGAGAGGTGCCACACCATGAAATATGATCAGCTGCATCAGCTGGACACAGAGGGAAAGATGGAAATAGTAACGTATAAAAAAGTTGGTTCAGATTTGAAAATAGTTTTGTTGTGAAATGCAATTTTAAGAAATTTGACCCCTGCTGGCAAAATGGTTCAGAGATTTTTATTTCCAATTTTTAAGTCCCTACACCCACCATTTTTTCACATTACAGATCCAGCAAAATGTGATAGACATAACAAATGTCTATGATCTGTGGCATGTGTTGAAAAGTACCGGTAAACTTGCAAGGCCCGAATGCAAAGAATAAAACATAAGCCATCGCATTCTATGACAGCGATTACCTTGTAAGAACACTTGGGACTATAATGGTGGGTGTTGGACGTAAAGGTATTATTATTTTCCAATTCACACATAGACTCATAGTAGCTTACTTCTCTTCTTCCAGATGTTCCTGGTGCAGTCGTTCCGGCGGAAGAGGAGAAACCGGGGGAAGCCGCTTTTCCACCACTTCACCACTGCCGTGGATACAGAAAACATCCGCTTCGTCTTCCACGCCGTCAAGGACACCATCCTGCAGGAGAACCTCCAAGACATCATGCTTCAGTGAAGCTAGCGCCGCAGACGCTCTTCGACTGTGAACCCAGCTGTGGACCGAGGCCCGGCGGACTCAGGACTGTGAGTTTACATCCACGTTGACCCACGCAGAGCGGCTTTAACTCTTTCAAACCTGTGGAGCTGTGAAAAGACTCTGGACTCGTCGACTCGTGGAGACCTTGACCTGTAGAGGAAAGCACCAGCTACGTGGCACTGAAAGTTTTTTTTTTTTTTATGTATATAAGACTAATGACAAGAATGTCCCTAAATCAGATCCAACCTGGTGGAATGTTCAAGCTGTGTGAAACGGAACGAGGAGGAAAGACAGAGGTTAGAAACAGTCCACGTGACGAGGGGAGGCTGAGGGCTCGAGCCCAAACCGGTCATATGCTTATGTGATAAGCGTTCCTGTCAGTGAACTTTGACAGAAGGAAGAGACGAAACCCTCTCATGATAAACAGCTGCAGAGAAACAAGTCCTCTTCTTCCTCTAATCCTCCCCGTCCTCTCCGGGACAATAGGCAGACTGTTGGTCTCCTCCCTCCGCAGCACAAACAGCAGACAGACAAATTAGAGACTCATCGTTGTTAAAAACAAACGCACCGATCTCGGTTTCGCATCATTTACGGTTTGTCTGTGTCCTCCCGCGTCTTCTATTCCCACCGGCTTCTCCCCGCAGACTTCGCCTGAGGCGTGCTTTAAGTGTTGGCGAGAGATTTCTGCGCCGCGGTTTCACTGATCCTGCACTTTTTGTAGACGCGAAGGAGGTGAGGGAAAACGGCGAGGTCGGACCACGAACTACGTTCTCCTCCTGGCAGGCGTTTTCTGAAGCACTTTCCAAAAGAAACGTTGAAACCAACAACCTGAAGGAGTTTACAGTTAGTTCGTACGAGTTATAGCGACGTTTTCTTACGTTTAATGTTTTCGCTCATCTTAAAAATATAAAAAATAAACGTCCGCGTATGACAGCACTAAAAGGAAAGCAGTTCCCACAGTAGTTCCTCAGAGTTAACTGGTTGTGGAGTAAAACAAAGAGTAACGGCTCTGTTGCTCCGGTGACGTTCAGTCACACACACCGATTTATGACAGTTAAACTGCCAACTTACTTTATTTCAGTTTAGACACGCTATACCTCCTAAACTTTATGTAGCAAAATAAATGATTTGAAGACATTGATCCCAAAGATTTGACTAATTTTCCAGAAAGGCACAGACAAACCTTCTAACCACTCTTCACTCTGCTTATCCTCAAGGGAGAATAAATGCAGAACGTGAACATTTTCCACTCTTCTCCTACAAGCCTGTGTTAATTTGTGTGTGTTCCTGTAAAGTGAACTGTACTGTATATTTTTGATTGACACTGTGTGTATACCTGCAGTACAAGCACCACTCGACTAGTTAAAACTGTAGCTGTTTATTTGCTGTAACATTAACTACCGTATTTTTCGGACTATAAGGCGCATTAAGCGAAAGTCGTATAAGTCGAACTTTATTCAACTCATTCACAATAATCACATAAAATCGGTTTGAGGTCAGTAAGCACAAACAGAATCAATACATTGGGGCGCACCAGATTATAAGGCTCACTGTCAATTTTTGAGAACATTAAAGGATTTTAAGTGCGCCTTATAGTCGGAAAATTACGGTAACCTTGTTTTTCTAATCACCCTTCTGTATGGTTTTATTTTGTGTGTGTCATAGCACTGGATGTCTGTTAGATGAAAGAGCAGGAAGGAAAATGTCTGAGGAAGAGAAACAAATAAACGAGCTCAGACTTTTAGCAGGAAGAGAAGAGGGAGGTCCTTTGCCCTTTTTTTTTGTCTGCTTTTTTTTGTTTGTTTGTTTTCCAGCGCCTTGTCCCCTGTGCTCTGTAGTGAAATACACTGCCACTTGCTGACACGATGTTTCTTTATTTTCTCAGCGTGTGCTCGAGTGCGCACGTGGCCGAGCGAGGAGCGGCGTTGAGATTAACAGGAGAGGGAGGAATATGTCAAAGTTTGAAGCCCGTGCAGGAGAAGGAAATAAATCTAATTGTTTTTCTTATTTCCCAGGCTGGTTTAATCAGATTTTATGAACACGAGGAGCTTTCATGCAAAACGTTCGAAGCTGCTGATAAGTCGTGTCACACTGATGTACGCTCAAGCTAAACTTTCTGCTCTTATTCCCACATAATGTAATAAGAAGCTCATCAGAGGAGCGAGCAGACCGCTGGGCATGAGAGCAAAGCTGAAGTCGGGTGATATCTCCGTTACCCAGCAGAGTCTGACCTTTGCTTTGGCTTTTTATCAGAGGAGCTCTGCTACATTACAGCCTCTGGGTCTCTGGAGACAGGGAGGGGGTCCAGAAACAACCAGACCAGAGGCTTCGTGTTGTTTTAAAAATCGCTGGTCAACATAAGATTTATTTATACGGGAAGTGAACGGACTGTAATTTAAAATCTTATACATTCACGCTGCAGAAACTCACGACAGCAAGATCTCTGGCACCAAGTTAAAACATGACCTTGTGAATGGGTGAGTACAGTTTGAAAGGGGGGGTCAAACAAAAGGAGGAAGAGGGAATACAAGAAAATTAAGAGGATAGAGGGAGGGAGGAGGTTATGCTTCCTCTGAGCCCACTTCCTGTCCAAATCCCAAAATGGAGCGACCAAGAAGGATACACACACACACACAAATGCACACCAACACACACATCACAGAAACCAAAGCTGGCCGCCTCCAGTATCTGACAAAAGAGGAAAAAGCAAGAAAAAAATCTCCCTGGTGAACCCTGAAACACGAGGAAGTGTTGGTTTACCAAAAGCAGAGGCGCAGGACATTTTGTCCTTGCGTTGCACTTCAGTGTTTTTTTTTTCCTGCAGTCTAAAGACAAATAAGTTTGTTTTTTTGTTTTTTCAAAAAGCTGTAGTCGATGAAACATTCAGACGGGATCATCTAACTGTTTGATGGTTGGTTCATAAAATCCTCCAACATACATCTAATCCTCTCCCAGTTTTTTTAAAAAAGGGCAACAAAATCACAAAATGCCAACTTTTAAACAGCTGGTGGTTTTTATTGTAGGGAAGAATAAATTTTACTTTTTTTTTTTTTTAAATAAAAAGGAGAAAACAAAAATTGTACTTCTGTAAATTTGCTACATATTTCACAAGCCTGTCTCTGAGTGTTAAACTGTAGCTTTAAGATTGAACAAATATTAAATTAGCCTCCAGTCCTACTTTTCAGACATTTAGTTTTATATTTTTCAGACAGTGCCGTCCTGAACATGGAGGACAAATTATTTTCCTATTCAGAGACAAAAAAACAAATAGTTATCCTTAAAAAGCCACAGTACATTCAGATTTCTGTTCCTTCAAAAACATTGTTCTCTTTGAAATCTGCTTCAACACATTTTTCCATGTAGGGTAGTTGGTGTCGGTGTCCAGAGGTGGGCTACACCCTGGTCCATCACCCACACAGAAACAACCAATCACACCAAGTGACAGTTTAGAGTCACCCGAACATACAGGACATAAATCTGTTAGATGAAACCAGAGTACCCAGAGAAAACCCACACATGAATGGGAAGAACATGCACAACTAGACTGGGTGTTGAACCTGTGAGCTTCTTACTGGGAAGCAGCAGCTCTGACTAAGGGGGACAAAATCAACCTGCCGTTCATTAAAAAATAGATCTACAGCAGAGACCAAATGTATAGCAGCAAGAGAAGAGAGGCTGCCGTTGATGTTGACACAGATCAAATGGTTTGCTGAGGTCCTCAGTCTCAACCATGGCCTTTGTTGGACCTAAAAGAGAATGATACAACTCAACTATTGAGGAAGTAGAAGTACTAATAAGGTTTCTGGCATGGTCTCGAGTTCCCTGCAGTCTCCTGTGTGGGGCATTGCCCCCTGCCGCCTGGATATCTGTTTCTTGTTGAACAACACATGACCTTTTCAATGCGGGTTTCCACTTCAATTCAAAAATACTTTATTTCCAAAGGAAATTTCGTTGTGGCTCATCATCCTGGTTTCATTAGAGTTGTTCTAGATGCTGATGGCCTTGGGCAGGAAGGATCTCTTGTAGCGGTCCGTCCCACAGCAGATCTGAAGAAATTGACTGCAGATGCCGATCCGTCTACCCAGGCCCAGCAGACCTCTCGGTCCTCTTGGGCAGCAGAACTGCCTGAATGCCAGGGAGAACTCCTCCCCGAGCGATGGCCATTTCTCCCAGCAGCCTGCCGAGGCTTTCATTGCTGCGGACTTAACTGCAGGTGCCGGGGGACGATCTCGGTCCTCCTGCTGTCACGAACCACGTTTCTCGCCACCTTCAAGATCTCTGCGGTCAGACACTTGAGCACCACCTAGACAGGAATGCATCCACGGCACCTCCTTTTCAACTTATTTGGGATTTGGGGCTGTAGTTGGGGTAATATTTGAGCTTTTGAGATGTTAATCAGCAGCTTCCAGTTGTAGAAAACCACCTTGTTGTTATGGTTATGTATCATAAAAATGTCCAAAAGTTTAAAAGTTTTCTGTAAAAATCTTTCCAGCTGCACAACATCTGATACCAGAGGAAGAAATCATCCGAAAAGAGCGATTTACATCCAGAAGAGGAATTAAAGTTTCCAAAAGCAAAATCTCAGAAGGAATGTAAGAGAGCTACTCCAACATGCAGCCATCTTGAATGGCACAGTTTTAGAACTATAGAGAGGAGTATCAATTCTATACTTCTAGAACTGTGGAGATAAATATTCAGAAAAGTGTACAACAAGATATTTATATGTACCACATAATTCACTAATGCATAAACAGTTTTGCTAATGTACACATTTCAGACTGAACAAGCAGGGATACGCTATGCATACAAATGTCAAATGGGCGCACACAAATAGCCTCCTGCGAACAAATCTGCCGATGCGAGCGCACGTGACCTATGAGACCTTCATGCTCCAGATTCACAAATGTAATGCTGCGTTCAAGGACATCTGCATCCAACTATCAGACATGGATAACTTCTGTTCTATATTATTTAAATTGTACACTTCTGTGAATACTAATTAATGGCCATATGTTTCTACTTCCTAAATTGGGTTCTCTTCTAGATGCAGGCGGCTACCAACCAAATGTCCCTTGATCTCCCAACATGGAGGACTAAACAGTCTCGCTTTTTTCTAGGCGCTCGACTTGGCGCAGATTCAGCGAGCCGAGTTGAGCCAAAAGTTTGTCGTCAGCAGACTGCAGGCTGTTGGTCGGCTACAGAGTGATGTCAATCAGGAGCATCTCCTTCGTAAGGATCTAAACCCACCATTTTTAAAACTTCACCACCACAGCGTTCATTTTTGTTGTTTACTTGAAAGAAAAATTATATATCCATTAAAATGACAACATAAACCAACACCATAGTATCAGAAGGTGCAGACATTTCCGTTTTTTATGGTTGAAAATGGGATTGGACCTAATAGAATTGATTTTCAGGCTCAGACAGACATTGCAAAAGCAGACCTCGACTCAGCCACGGCATTTTTAGAAACCCTGGCAGAGGATGGTATTTCGTGACCATTTCACTTTATTTGTCTATTGCCGTTTGCCTTAGATAGAAGTTTTGGACAGTTGCGCTATGACAATGTAGCACGTTATATGGAAAACCACTGAGACCATGAAGACCTGAGTAGAGTCTAAGGGAGTCATGTTGAGAATGGACAATAGAAAAAAATGGCATTGGCAACGTCACTGAACATTCAACTATAGTGACCACCAAATAACCCTCCCTTACCAGTTGTAGCATGAAGAATGCAACAACAACAAGCTTTAATTGCACTGTGTATGCCCTGCTGGAACACCAGAGTGGCCGCGTATCAGAAACACAATAATACTAGCTCGAAGAAATCTGGTACCTTAGCAACCGTAAATCACTGAAGCAGCCCAAGTGACTACCTTAGCAACCGTCATTAAAAGCACAGTTAAACACCTCGAACGTGATTCCTACCATTTGTGTCACTTGTTAGTTTTTGGGGCAGCTGTGGCTGAGTGGTTAAAGCAGTCGTCCTCCAATAGGGCAAAACACCGAACCCCCATTGCCTCCGATGTGTCCCATTGGTGTATGAATGTGATCTAAAGCACTGATTAGTCCATCCATCCATTTTCTTTACCCGCTTATTCCATTTTGGGTCACGGGGGTCGCTGGTGCCCATGTCCAGCAATCACTGTGCGAGGGGCGGGGTACACCCTGGACGGGTCGCAAGTCCATCACAGGGCCACATAGAGACAAACGAGACAAACAATCATTCACTCGCTCACTCACACCTAGGGACAATTTAGAGTTACCAATCAGCCTAACATACATGTTTTTGGACTGTGGGAGGAAACCGGAGTACCCGGAGAAAACCCACGCATGCATGGAGAGAACATGCAAACTCCACCCAGAAAGGCCCCTGGACCGGGGTTTGAACCAAGGACCTGCTCGCTGAGAGGCAGCAGCTCTACCAGTTGCGCCACCGTGCTGCCCACTGATTAGTCTCTATATTCAATTAGCTTTGTATAGACGTAGTAGAGTGCTGTATGAATGAGTAAATGAGGGCACAGATTTTATTGTAAAGTGCTTTGAGTATCTTGATAAGATAGAAAGGTGCTATACAAGTACTGTTTATTTACTATATAGTTTTCTACATGAAGCACCAGAACACTAACGGGAAGTCAGTGGAAAGATTGATCAAACTTCTTCCTGTTATCCTCCGTCATCAGGCCTAAATCAACTCAATGATGTTCCCGCTTTGTGTTTTGTATTACTTACAGTGAACACATGAAAGTTTCAGAGAGCCTTGGACCAGTCTGCTACACGGAGAGTTTGCTCACATGTTAATCTGGTGTGTGGGTGTGTGCACAAGTACATGTAGTCTCATGACATTGGTTAAGTTGATGTTTCCCTGAGGCTGTTATGATTGGACCTGCAGCTGAACTCTGATATTTAATGAGCAGAGTACAACACACACACACACGTACACACATGGTCTGGTCAAACGGTTGAGTCATGCAGCGAACTATAAACAACTAGTGTCTCATTAGGTGGTGATTGGACCATGACACATTGGAGCGCATTATTAAAGCTCTTCTGGTTAAGCTCACACAAACAGTCACATAAACTCATGTCTGACATTTTGTCAGATCCACAGGATGGGGTTTTTGGGCACAATGTGCTTTGAGAGGAAAATAAGGGAAACATTTTCAGCCATTTAGATTAATTTAGAAAGTACAAGCAAATGCAATGTTTTAAATTTAAATAACATCTTCTTTTTCTGTGTTTGTTTCTCCAAATTTTTAAAGTAGGAAAGGCAAATTGAGAAGCAAAATAGAAATGTGCTGGGCGGATGGCTCCATCTGCAGGACGAAATCAAATAATCGTTTTTAACCTGCGTTTTTATCAAGTCCGAATAATGTTTGAGCTGAAAGGAACATTATTTTTGAGTTACTATGACAAAAATCGCAAAGAACGCATCATCAAAGGACTGAACACAGTTTATGAGCATCAAGTGAAAGCAGAACATACCAGATTGACTGGAGGGAAATATTTTTAGGGACAGAGCTGGTTCAGGATCTGGAGAATCGTCGTCATCGTTAAACTGCAGCAAGGTTCAGTGTTTGTTTATGTAGCTCCAATGTACGTTAATTTGTCTGATTGCACTGCAGCCCTTCAAATGAAGCTTCTGCACAACAAAGAGCTACAAATCCTTCCCGATTTAATGTAAAAAATATATATATATTAAAGCACTTGAGATTTAAAGCAGAATCTGTACTATTCATGTTTAAAATTTAGAAAAAGCAGTAAGATTTAATTAAAACCATGTGATCGTATGATAAAATTGGCCAAATTATTCTTTTTACATCCACATTTTTAGATCAACTTTATTTTGAGGGCTGATTGTACAAGTTATATAAACAGAAACGTTAAATCAACTCTTGACATTTACCGTATTTTTCAGACTATAAGGTGCAATATCAATGAATGGGTTTGTTTTTATACATAAGGCGCACCGGATTATAAGGTTCACTCTTGATTTTTGAGAAAATTAAAAGGATTTTAAGTGTGTCTTATAGTCTGAAAAATATGGTACAATTTTAAATTTAAAAGTCAGTTTTGGTCTGGATACATAAAACAGATGAGACTTGTTTATTCTTTGGCACATCTAAAGCATCAATTTATTCATTCATTCAAAAAAAACAAGTACAAAAGTTCAGTTTTCATCATTCACTCATTTGAACAACCACAAACACACCAGCGTCCTGCAGGAACAGGAAATATTTTGTGTTTCTTTCCCAAAATTATGAAGGTATGTCTTGTGCTGATGCTGCCTTACAAAGACCGAGTGGTCCAATTAACACAAAAACGGCCCAGAACCGTCCACCCGGGTCAGCAGGTCGGCACATTTATGTTATACCTGATAGAAGACCACGATGCTGAGCGTACTACTTTTAACGTCACAGCTGTGTCAGTGTAGCTACCATATTCTCACACACACGCGCTGATGATGATAAATATTGTGAAATTTGTTGCACAGATAAGACGAGCAGCAGCAACAGAAACCCGAGTCATTGAACGCGTTAAACGAATGACGTTTATTTTCTGACATTCAGTCAGGAAACACTTTACTGCTAAAACGGTTTCTTTCCTTTTTTTGTTGATAAATTAGTTTTTGAGTGTCTGAACTACCCACAGTGCTGCAACAAAGTTTCTTTAACCAAAACCCACACTGGGAATTTCAGGGATGAATTTACATGTTTCCTCAGTCATTTGGGGGTCACCCAATCAACACTTTATTATTAATATTCATATTATTATTAAATCCTGATTTAATTTAAACAATTTTGATTAAAGAAAAGAAGCTGTCAAACAGCTGAAGCTCATCTCAGTGCATATTTCCATAAGTTAAAAACAATTTACTGTAATATTACACATATTTTAGTCTGTAAAAGTGGCAAAATGTTGCGTCTGGATGTCTGTTTGTTTTAAACTGCTGATACAACTTATTCCCATAAGTTGCTTCCCAGAAACAAATTTTCCCACAAGCCAATAAAATAGGAGTGTCTTTATCAAAAGGTTTTAAAGCCCTTGTGAGGAAGAGTTAAAAATCAATAAATTATTCTATAAAACAACCAAAGACATAAAAACTTGTTCACAGCACTGTGACTTCCCCTAAAACAGTACAGGCTTTACAAAAGCAATAATGGAGTACTATCAGGGAGTTTTTTTCCTGCGGAGTGCCTCGTCATGTGAAAGCTACTTGGCTTCGGGTGGCAGATAGTAAGGGTGAAACGGCCTCTCCTGTGCGCAGATTTGCAGAGCGGCGTGTGTGTGCATCAGTAACCGTGGAAACCGTGAGGTGAAGTAGCCGACGAAGCCTTCGGGAAGTTCGCCGAGCGTCTCCTGCACGTCCGACGGCAGCTCGTGGTAGTGATGCTTCTGTTAGAAGTAAAAAAAGAAACTTTACTGAACGTCTCTAAACGTCTCAAATGAAGCAGAACGGGAAGTGGGCGGACCTTATTCCTCATGGCTCGGAGCAGATCTCTGACGGAGTTCCCTTTATACGTCCTGAACCGCCTCAGGTCTGACGTGCACATGGAGAAATGTTACTACAAAACTGTTTGCAGATCAGTTGTTCTGCACCTGCTGCTGTGGGTACCTGTCTGCAGAGGCGCAGAAATGTGCATCCTCCAGTTGGTTCGGACCACCGTTCTTCCTGCGGTCTCCAGTCGCACCACGATGGGGCTCTCCGCTCGCTCCTTCTCGATGCGATCGCTAACGTCCTTTCAGAACAAACGAACGTAGAAAAGACTTTAAGGGGTCGTTCAAATCCTTTTGAAGATCTTTCCATGAAAACTTTGTGAACAGTTAATACGCTACGTGTTGCAGATAGAGCTTTGAACAACCTCAGATTGGAGGGGCGGATTGACGAGCTACCGGCCAGTCTGAGCAGAGCCGAGATCAAAGTGGACCGCTGTCGTCTTAAAACAACTTTAATCTCAACAGCTGTAGGACAGTTCGTTCAAATGCTGTTTCATAAACCAAAACAATCAATTTAGCTTAAATCACTATGAAAGTTTTGGGAATTATTTCACTGAATTGACGAGTTTAACTCCAACCAGGCTAATGAGCTAATAGCTAGTCTAAGGAAACAGTTTTCCAATCTCAACATATTTTTTTTTTTACGATTCGTGAAAAGTTTACTTTTTCAGTGTCTAAATCACCATCAGTTTAGCATTATGAAACATTTATTATTGAAATATTCACTTTGGTCTTGGTTGCGCTCAGACTAGCCATTAACTTGTCTGAATAAACTCTTTATTTCTCCAATCTGAGGCCGTTCAAAAGTCGCCTGTAAGAAGCAGAAATATAAATGTTCATAACTTTTCCACAGCACCCTTAATTCAAAAGATCTGAACTTGTTTCTTCCTACTGTTTATTGAACTTGTTCAGGGTGAGTTCACTGGTTTGTTTACGACTGATTTGTTGTAATATTTAAACATGTTCAAAATAAACGATCAGTCAAATGATCCATTTTGTGTTGGTCTACCTTGGAGCATCTACTGTATGACCAAACCAAAAGATGTGATTAATTCAAAATTTAATACAACTAAAATGACCAATAAGCAAAAGGTTTACATTTTTGAATCGCCACAAAAAAGGGACTAAAGAAACCTGGAAAAAGAGCAGCTGCTTCTCGGGGCTCCAGAAGAACGGATGTTTGAGCACGCAGGCAGTGGAGGGGCGTGACTTTGCATCGGCGCTGATCATTTGCTCGATCAGGTCCTTCGCTATGACATCATCTACCAAAAGATACACACACGAGTGTCAGATTGGTCATAGACAAAACTATGTATATAATTTAACTTGAGTTGTCACAACAGATTTAGATTAATATCATTTTCATGCAGGCATTATGACAACTGAATAAATCGGACATATTGTTCTGTCAGAGTAAGCCGAGATCCTTCCCTCTTGGTTCTGAAGATGATTTTTCAAATTACAAGAAAGTAAAGTACAATTCAATTCTGAACCATCCTGTATCAGGGCATGATGAATTTCAGTCCTGACAAAATCTTTAACCTGACATAAAAATATATATAATACAGTATAGTATACACACTTTTTTTTTTAACACAAAATCACATGCCATGTTACACTGGAGTATATTTTTCTTTATGTCACATCAAAATAAAGAAGCAGTTTGTGGAGAATCTAGGTAGATGTTTCATAGGATTAAAGCACAACCTCATATTTTACGTGTTCACCATCACTCCATGGAGCCCTCCTGTAAAAGATCTGAACTGTTCCTTTAGCAGCCAGGTGCTGCTACTTAGTCACTTGATTAACTGATAATAGGTGTGAAAATCTCTATTGGAGCAGAGGTTTCAGGAATTCAGGTGTGAGTTATTAGACTAATGCCAAACTTTTTTCTTTTTTTTTTCATAAGCAGTTATTGGTTCCCAGCATGCTTGGCAGTGCTAGAAAATCATTTCCAAACTATTTGGAGTCTTTCACTTTACAGACAAAAATTATCCACAACAACAACAAAAAATAACCATCAGGATCAAACTGCAGCGTTGAGGAAAACTGAAAAAAAAAATTACATCCAAAACTCTACAGAGCCAAGACGTTTTTCGGACAATTAAAAAAAAGACAGAACAAGTAAAGTTTGTTTAAAAGAGCTGCCAGGTGGTCCAGCTGCATTTGATCAAACCCCTACACCTCAGGAACAACAAACTTTGGACCAACCAAACACCAGCCTGAGGGGTTTTGACCATAGTGTCACATTTATACCATCGGTGAAGCACGGTGGTGGAGGATTAATAGTTTGGGCTTCATTGTCAGCTACAGGACCTGGGTAGTACTCGTAAACTATAAACTCCTCTGTGTGCCAAAATGTTTTGGAGTAAAAAGTGAAGCCTGGCAGCTGAAGCTTGGCTCGTGTTACGTCACATATCAAGACAACAAGCACAGCAACAGATCTAAACCAAGATGGTTGAAAAAACAAGAAATGATTAAAGGAATCCAAAGTCCACACCTCAGTCGGATTGAAACGGGTTTGGTTTTGTCAAGGATCATACACAAAAATAATAGACCCATAGTGATAAGATGGTTTCTGGGACCAGCCTCTCCACCGTCGACTCCTCTGAGGTAGCCATAGCCAAAGTGATTCAAAACATCAAAGTTCATGCTCAGTAATCCAGGTAAAAAAATCCAACAAAGTTCAGTCAGGTCATCTGGACGGTTTCTTTTTTATTGAGACGGAGGGCGGGCCCCAGAAACCATCTTATCACCAGCAAACTGGTTGGTCCACTGTGTGAGTGTGCTGCTTGTTGGACTGAGTTTGTTTGTGGCTCCTCAGACTGATGAAGTCCTTTGAATGAAGGACGAAACGTCTCAACAAAAAAATAAACTATCCAGATGAGCTGACTGAACTTTGTTGAATAGACTCATAGGTTTTGTACTTGATTTAGCGACTTTAGGAAACTTAAATCCTCACCGTGAATCTCTTCCATGAAGTGTAGGAGTGAATATTCTCCTGACAGGATGTTGATTTGTCGTCTCAACGTGTCTCCAAAGGGGTGCTGCCCCCTGGTGACCACATAATAAAACACACAGCCTGCTGAGAACACATCCACAGCTGTTGTCTGGAAAGATGACAGGAGAAAACAAGATGAAGGCAACAAAAATAAACCAGATGAATTCAGAGTTTTTTATGTCATTAATTTGGCGTCTAAGTTTAGGTAAATTAAATTTTGATGCGTTTGCGTGCATCTTACTGGTTTACATCCAGGTGTGTCTCTCAGCACTTCAGGAGCTATCCACCCTTCAGTTCCTGGTATTCCAGACCGCAGAGAAAAGCTCTTCTGACCGTCTGGGATCTTCTTACAAAGACCAAAGTCTGAGATGAGGGCTCGAACTTGACCCAGTGCATTTGGACCAGACAGGAGAATATTTCTAGGCTTCAGGTCACGATGGACTAAAAGAAGGAAGAAAGGATTTTCAAAATGATAATTGTTTAAGTGTGGATTTAAAATGATTTGTATATCTAATAAAGCCTCGTGTGTCCAGGTGTGTGTACAGGGTGTGAGTGTAGTTTAGACCTATATTGAGTGAGTGGAGGTGAGAAAGGCCACACATAGTTTGTTCCAGCACAGTTATAGGATTCAGCCCAAGAGAACAGGATGGATCCTCCACATACTGCAGAATACAATCAAATGAAAACAGACACATTAGCGTCACATCGTGTGCATTGATCTGTTTAAAGTTCAGACCTGAGCCAACGGCTGACCTGCTGCAGCGTCGCAGCGCACAGCTCGATGGCGATGTAGGTGAACAGGCGGTCCCGCTCCGTGCAGAAGTACCGGATGACGTTCGGGTGTGTGTCAGACTCCCGGAGAAGTTGCACCTCCCGCTCTGCTACCTCGAAACACTTGGGCAAGATTCGCTTGACAGCGATATGGCGCCCATCAAATTTACCTCTAAAGTAAAAAAAAATAAAACAAACATTTGCCTGAAAACAACCCTCAACTCTAAAATTATTCTCTGTACGAGTAAAAAGTGATGTTGAAAATGATTCACATACCTGAAAACAAACGTTCCAGCTGTCCCGTGTCCAAGCACCTCAGAGGGCGCAAAGGAGATTTTTCCTATGAAAACTTCTTTACTGTTGTCCGCTGCAAAAAGTTGGAGAAGATTAATAAAAGTTTAGGTCCAGTTTATGTTTTTCACTCATCTAGAGATACAGATGTTAGAACCTTGTATTGTGAATCAGTTATTTGTAAATAAGAGGCGTGTTGGTGTCTTACCGCTGGTGGGTTCGTGGTCACCTGAATCATTTTTATCTGCATCTGAGGGGCTTCTGCTGTGACTCTCATTATTAAGTGAAGCATCATTTGATGCAGGCAGAGAGTCTAAACACAGAGAGTCAAGTGTTAAACAAAACCTGTGCTTTTTATGTTTGTGTTAAATCAAAAATATAACAATCACAGAGTTTATAATACTTTTTATTTTTAAACACAAAGCGGACAAATGAAAAATGATCACCACTTTAACTTTCACATAGTTTTTTGGTTGGTTTAATAAGCTTTTTGCTACCATTTACTAGCATTTAGCTACTTTAGAAAAATGTTTTGCTGTTTTTAACTAGCATTTTGATATATTTATGCATCATTTTGTTACTTTTAATTAGCGTGTTGCTTCTTTTGACTACCTTTTTGGTCTTTTAAAAACTTACATTTAAATTTTTTAGCAAGTGTTTTGTTACTAAAAATCAGTGTTTGACTGCTTTTAACTAGTGTATTGTTACTTTAAACTAAGTTTTAGCTACTATTAACTAGCATTTGCTACTAGTAGCAAGGGCTCTGCTACTATTAACGAGTACTTTGCTAATTTAGCTCACATTTGGCTACTTAAAACTAGCATTTTGCTTCTGATACCTAGCCTATTGCTACTTTTAACTAGAATTTTGTGCTATTTTTAATTAACATTTTGCTACTTTAGGCTATTGTTTTAGTACTTTACATGTTACATAATACCTTTCTACTTATAACTAAAGTTTAGCTACATTTGTATAGCTTTTTTTTTTTTGCTTTGAATCATCATTTTGCTCTTTTTGACTAGCATCTTGCTACTTTGATCTAGGGTTCCGTTACTTTTATCGTGTTTTGCTACACGTTTCTTGCATGGTTTTACTTTTTACTAGCCAACCTTTTTTCTGAACCACTTTGGCCTTGGTTGTCCTCAGGGTGTTTCTGTGAGTAGCAAGTTTGCCATCTGAACTAAAACATTTGATTATTATACATGATGATTGATTGTTTTGGACGGTTGGGCCCTTTTTGCACGTGTTAAAAGCCGCTTCTGAGATTTCAACAGGAGGTTGGCTTGAAACACAGCAATGAAGGCTACTTATGGGACAGATCTGGTTGGCAGGCTGCAGACTGACTAAGTCCGCTGGATGGGAAACTAAACATTTCTCACTTAAAGAAATGGGTCAAGATGACATGATTTAACCTTTTTATTGTTATCTACCTGGATGACTGAGCTTACAAACCTTGTTTCACTGTCAAACCATGAAAGGATGTATCACTTGTGATGTCTGAGTCAGTAGACAGGCTGCTGTCTGCAGGACCCAAGGTCACCGTCTGAATGTTTGTCTGCATTTGATGGAAGCGAGACTCAAAAGCCTCCTCCAGCTGCCTTTGAGCTTTCAGCTGCTGGGCTTTACGCTGCAGAAATACACAAGCACAAGGCATTTCAATGCTGAAGTTAGTAATCCTAAGGATAAGGTGGAGTTGTGTCAAAAGGTTTTGAAAGTCTATCTTGTCCCTCTTTGCTGTGCTTCATCTCTGCTTTATCTGAAGAAAAGCTGTGGTAACAAGAAAAGTAACTACAGCACTGACCTCCACCTGCTCCTGGGTCTGACCGCTCACTTTCCCAAAGTATTATGGGTCATAAGAGCTGAACTCATATAAAATACAAGATATCGGTGCTTGAGAGCTTCATTTCCAACCATGAAGTTGCAACATTAAAAAAACCCCAAGGGGATGATCTATTATTTTCACAAGTCTGTTCATCTTTCTATAAACTGAATGAAAACATACAGTAAGAATATAGCAAGTAAAACTTCTAAATGATTACAGTCCAGCTTAGAAAATGTTAATGCTGTGATCAAAGAAGACTCATTTTAACCAGATTGTTTGGGGAATGTTGGAGATGACTCTCAGCTACTACCACACCAAATTTTAGCTCAATATCTGCCTAACTGACAAGAGTTATAGCCTTTTTGTGTTTGCTAAGGTCAATCAGCTGTGGTAGCCATCTTGATTAAGGTTGGCCAAAAGTTAATTAGTAATAGATGCACATCCAATGATTATTTTTTTGAGAGTTTCATTCAAATCCATCCAGTAGTTCATGAGATAGTTTGCCTTTTAAGACAGAAGTCAACAAGTCTGTTTGTGATCTTTGTGGGCGCTGTTAACAACATTTTGATGTCGTTTGAACAGAACCAAACTATTTGTTTCACTCGATTGCCGGTCTTCACTTTGGACTAATAAGAATCAAGCAACAGAAAAGAGTGAATGTGCTTCAAAAAATGTTTGAGTTTTAACTGCACACAAACTAAAGCGCAATAAACTCACGAGGGGAAACGTGAGCACGAAGGTGAGCCATCCTCCCAGCAGGATTGTCAGGACGACCAGCGTCAGCCGGTCCTGGGTCATGTGCACAGGCAGCACAGAAGCTGGTTTCTGTACCTGCCCAGCGGCTTTGCCATCAGACCCCACCTTGTTAGCGTTAGCATCACTATAGCTTCCAGAAGCTGTCTGAAACTAAAAACATAGAAATAAACAAGATTTTTGAATCCGTTCGTGTCGTTGGATTTTCACAAGCTTTCCAGAGTAACTGATACCAAAGATTTTAGCATTTACACACAATCAGATTTACACTGCAACAATGAGAAGGAAAAGGACTGATGGCTCACGTAACGCTGATGGTCATAGGATCCAGAGGACACTGGAGAGGCAGAGGAGCGAGGGGGGATGACTGCTTCACCAGAGTTCTGCAGGGTGGCTGGGAAATCCCTCAGCATGGTGGTGTGGGCCACAGGAGGGGGCTCATGATGACCTTCAGCACAAAGAAAAAAATATGACTTATCAGTTTGTTATCAGGGCAGGGATAATTAATGTGATAGATATGTAAAAAAAATTCCAAGCTTAAGGAGGTCATTTTGATCTTTTAAAGTTTAAGTTTGTGGAAGGGTTGTAAACACTAAATATCTTACCTATTGTAGTTCCTATACATCAGTCCTTTTTGCACAAGACAGTTATTTACATATAATTCTATAGGTTAGTGATTTATAAAATGGTGTTTGGACAAACCCGCATAAGATTTTTGAGACAGCAGCTGTTTTAAGATGGCAGCAATCCACTTTGTTTGCTCCACTGAGACGAGACGATAATTTGTTAATCTGGTCCGAATTAAAATCTATTTCTCCAAACTGAGACGGTTCAAAGCGATGTCTACTATGGGGAGGATAATAATTCACAGAATCCCAGTTTAAAGCTCTGAACTAAACCGTTAAGTTTAACTACATGTGGTGATTTCTTTAAGCTGCTGGATCCCTCTGTGGACACTGACAGAGTGTTTTGGGGGATCCCATTACCTATTAGTAGCCAGCGGTTTCTCAAGCTGCTCCCTGGTGGATACTGCACGTCAGTGGACGGTGTGATCTCACATTCCCCTCTCTGACTGACCGTCACTCCTGCTGTCAGTGGACCATCAATCCGTGCCAGAGTCAGTCCTCGGGGCTGCCATGGTACCAGAAAGCACAGGCTCAACATCAACCCTTCAGTAACTGCTCTAATGTGCCGTTTCTGTGATTTGTTTATTTATTTGAGGAGCGGGGTAGATATATTGATGTTTGAGGATGATGTGTTCAATGATGAAAAGGGATTAGATCCTGCACTCACCACTAATGAGACGCCACGGTGCACAAGTGAAGTCAAAGCGTAGAGGTGGGAGTCTAATTTTCCAACATAGAGAGTGGGTCTGGAAGAAAACACAGTCTGGTTATTTTCTTATCTTATAACAAGCTTCAGTTGTTAATCAAATGTTAGCATATTTAAGAGCAACTAAACTCTATAAAACAAGTGGACAGACTGGTCTTAAAATTTCTGTATAACACACTCAAGCAAAACAGCTTTGAGAAGTTACAATACTAAAAAAGATAACTATTCCAAAAACGACCTAAAATATAATGTACACACAATTGGCTGGTTGATGGATGAGCCCCACGATTGGCATGGAATTTTTATTTTAAATAAATTATTTAGCACCTGCTGCACCTATGTGCAGCCCACAGAAGAAGGAGAAGCTTCCTCCTGCAGTGTCGCTCTGCAGCGGAGACGTGGGCGTGGCCGAGAGTGCTGTAAGATGGCATAGTGCGGCCGGAGGCAGAGAGCTGAAATCATGACATTCTGTGCTCTTTTAGAGCGTTTAGAGTTTAGAATACCACCGTACACGTCGCACCGCCGTATAAATCGCATCTCTCCAAATATGTCTAATAAAGTGGAAAAAAACATAAATACGTCGCTTCGCTATATAAGTCGCATCTATTATACGTCACCGCTGACAACCTGGAAACGTGGGCCTGTGTTGTGCCAAAAAATGATTGGCTGCCAAATGGTGGCCATGGGAGCATGTAAGGGAGGACTTTAACAAGATTAATACTTAAAAATAATTATTTGTTTGCTTGAAATTATACTAAAGGTGTGTCTTAGTGTACTGCTATTCCTACTTCGCGATTTTTCCACTTATCCAGGGGCTTCAGGGTACGGATCCCCCGTGACAAATGAGGGACTACTGTATTAGAAAACATTATCCACGTTATCCTGATGGAGATACAAATTTGGCAAGACATGGCATCATTTAATTTCTGCATTTGTCAGTTTGAACCCCTTTTATCTGAGGTTTGAGGGGAAAAAAGAGCTACGAATTAATATTAATATAAAAGCTTTGCATTCCTTGAGCGAATGCATATCGTCCACCCCCTTTTTCAACTAAGATCATATTATGTTGAAAAACACTATTGTTTTTGGTCCAACCTTGAAACTAACATTGCGGTGAGCTCATGCCATCACTGGATGTCACCTCAGAGTACGTGTTTGGGATCAGTCTCAGCTACTACCACACCAGATGTTAACATGCAGCAGCCAGCTTTAATTGGGTCAACTCTAAAAGACTGTAGACGTACTTCCAAACTTTTCTTTCAGTAAGTTTCATTCAAATGTGTCTAGTGGGTCATGAAACATTTTGGTAACGAATAAACACACAAACACTGACTGTTGTTTATGAAAAAATTAAATAAATAAATCACTGCATAACTAAAGTGGGATGAGTGCTGGTCTCTTACACTAGCTGTGTTTGAGCACTGGCTTGCTCCTTCACAAACTGATAGCTCCACTTCAGTGTGGAGTGAGCGTCTGCCTGGTCTTTGGCAGAGGAGAATGTGAGGAAGCGCAGCGTCTCCATGGCGAGGGACAGGTGAGGGGCGTGTCTCAGCGAGTCTTCATAGTAAAGGTACACCCCTACGACAGGTGAGCCGTAATTCTGAGTCCAAAGAACGTCGCCTGAACAAAAACAAGATAGAACACTTAAAACCCTCTGCAGGATAGAGAGGAAAATTTGGAAAAGCGTTAACGGCTAATTCACGGGGTAGAACCCTCACAGCGCCCCCTACCTGACTCTCTGTCAACTGTCACAACGAGACCATCTCCGCTCGACACCAGGTGAGACATCTCTGGACAAAAGGCACATACAGAAGGTTACAAAGAACAAATATAAAACATATTTGGGTTAGATTTAGGAGATTTATTCAGATGGTGGCTTGGTGGGGCAGTTTTTGGAAAATTAATTTCAATGTTTGAATACCATGAAAACAGTCAAACAGAAACATGCAGTGTGCAAAAAAGATAAAGAATAATATCTGAAAAATTACTTGGGAAAACGTCATTTTCCTAAATAAACACTAAAAGTGATCAAGTGTTTCGTGGTTTTAATATAACCAGTTCAACGAGGTGGTTATTGGTTCACAGGTAGAACAAACTACTTACCGTATTTTTCAGACTATAAGGTGCACTTAAAATCCTTGAATTTTCTCAAAAATTGACATTGAGCCTTATAATCTGGTGCGCCTTATAGTCCAAAAAACACGTTTTTTAACTTCCTGTTTGTGTAACTGTGTGCAGGATCGTACTGTAGCCTTGCTTCTCATCGTAGGGATGAGCAGAGTAATCGTTGTACGTAGCATTCCATCGCAGCTCTTGTGTCTTCGTATCGAACATGGTGACCGTATATTCTGCAAAACAAACGTTAACATCAGGCGTCACGCCTCAGCCGCGCAGGAATCTGCTCGCCGGCTGCGTGTCGAACCTGTGCGTCCAATGTAGAGCAGAGGAGTGTTGGGGCAGATGGATTCAGAGGAGGATGTGGTTAAACTCGTTTGCTTCTCGCCCGTTTCAGGATCCACTACGAACCACACGTCATGTTTTTTCCCTGCATGTAGACAGACGCACAGAGGCGAGATCAAATATTTACCCATCTCCAGTCCTAACAGTATCCAACCGTCTTCCATGCGCAGACGTTTTGTGTCTGACCTGTGTAGAGTATGCCGTCAGAGCTTCTGCAGGGAGCTGACTGCACCAGCTCTGGGATCGTAAAAGGCAGTTTCTGCAGACAAAACACAACATGAATGACTTCCTCACTAAAACAAAAAATACCTGACACCAGTATGTAAAAATATCACCATCAGGCCTTCTTTGTGCTTCCCACCAAGCAAATACAGACTGCCATCGTTAGGGTCTGGGAGGAAACCTGGCCTAGAATAAAAACATATACAAAAACAAAAATCATTCTGTCGTAGGAATTAGTTATAACTATGGAACAATTTACAAGGTCCTAGGATACATTTTATCATCATATTTTTAATTTATAAACCCTTTGATTTTGATTAAAAGACACAAATAATGTTCAGTTCTTCTCAAATATATTTAAAAAATATATCCACAAAAGCCGAGTTAAGAGCTGGCAAATTTGAACCAAGTTAAAAACAAAATCGGAAGAGAAATTTGGAGCTACTGTGGCTTTTTGTTTGTTTGTTTGTTTGTTTGTTTGTTTAATAAGTAAGTCACACGTCAAGGGAAATAAAATTACAGTGAAAACGGTGAATTAACGAATAAATTAGAAATCTACACATTGAAAATTTAGGTGACGGTTCTAATTTTATCTTTCACTTCTCTTTCTAGCTAAAATGGCTTCAAAAGTCTCAACGTTAATGCTCAGAGCTTTAAAGTTAACCCCAAAGAAACAACTTAAACCTCAAAGCTCTTCAAACTGTCTCAGATCTGTAACACCCAGCGTGATGATGTGACGCTGCAGAACTCATTTTTGACAGTAATTGACCGTTTATGCAAAATCATTAAGAATAACGAACAATAAAATCGAAGAAAACATTAGGGGGAAATAAATGGAACAGCTGGGTCAGCAACAACATAAAGCTTGAAATCTAGTACAGAAATTTTAACTAAATGATCATAATAAACTCCTCGCCCACCGCCTTATATGCTAAAGTTTTAGATTAAAATCATGTGTAATCTGTCAGACCTTGGAGTATCTGATGGGAATAACTCTCAGCTACTACCACACCAAACCTTAACTTAATATTAACTGGCTTGAATCAGACTGAAACCAAAAATAGATGTAGATGAACTGTGATGACGGTCATGAGCGAATATCACTCCCTTTCATGACGGGAGGAAATTATGAGGCAAATTTTAGAACAGTAATCTGTTACAGAAACATATTTACAGCTAAGACTTTTTAATGTTAAAACTATGTGGTTTATTGTAAAACAAATCGGAGGACAAGTTAATTTTGTGTACCAGCACATTTAAGTTGCTGTAGAGATGTGTTAAGCAGTGTGTACAGGAGTTCATTGATGATGTGCACTTCAAAAAGAGCAATAACAAAATATTATTTCTATTATATTTACCATTATGTTTTTCATTTTTTTCAGCTTACATGAGATTTATAGAAGTTGTACATGATCAAACTGTACAAGCACTGTAAGAAGTATAACTATTAATTGTGTGAATGTTTATGACGTATTCACACTATTGTGATCCATTTTTCTTCCGTACATTTTTCAGCATCTTTCTCGTTCCACAATTTTTGTGCTACTTCAACAAATCATAAATCAAAACGTTCAGCTCGTTCAGGAGAAGGTGCTATGACTTTTGGCATTGGTGCAACTTTAGCTTTTCAAAATATTTGGCGTTTTCTGCCATGCTTTTTCTCATAGGGAATTAAATGAGCTCATTTTACATCCTTCAAATCTTTAGATCCGTTTACAACATTTTACTGCTTCTTTCACATTTTGTTCCGCTTCAGCTTCTTTCAGCTGTTTTTGTTTTGTTGCTAATTTCAGCTTTTTTTTCCCAGATAATTTCCACTTTTTTGTGCTCATTTCTTCTTTCAGCATAATTGGGCAAACGGGTTCTTTCTGCTTTCTTCTGCTAATTTAAGTTTGTTCTAAATTTTCAGCTAGGTTTTTAGCATTTTTAGTTAATTTTAGCTGTTTAAAAAAGTTTTTACAGTTAATTTCTGCTACTTTCAGCCTAATTAATTTTTTTATTCTAATTTCAGCTTATTATGATCCTTTCAGATTTTTTTTTCTGCTAGTTTCAGCTTTTTCTGCTCTTTCAGCTACTATTCAGCTCTTCTGATGCTAATTTTAGCTTTTTCATTAATTCCACTTATGTTGTTGCTAATTTCAGTTCTTTCCGCTTCTTTGTAGTTTTACTTGTAGCTTCTGGTAGTTTAAGCTTCTTTTTGCCTTTTCAGCTATTTTTATTTTTGCTAATTTCACCCTTTTTTTTAGCTAATTTCTCAAATTTTGTGCTCCTTTCTGCTTATTTAAAACCTAATTCAGCACATATGTGTTCTTTCAGCTTTCCTTCTGCTAATTTAGGTTGTTCTTCAATTTTGACTACATGTCAGAATATTTTAGCTAATTTCAGCTGTTTTTCAGCAATTTTTTCTGTAATAAGCATTCACACTGCATTTTCGCAGAAAATGCAATTTCTCTCATTTCCATTACATTTAACATTATTTCCTGGTGTTTTTAATTACATGAGATTTATAGAACTTGTACATGATCAAACCGTACAAGCACTGTAAAAAGTACAACTATTAGTTCAGTTTTGTGAATTAGGAACTTTATGGATTCATGCAGGACAGCAGTGTTTTGACTTTGGGTCTACAGTTGATGTCTTTTTGCATACAGAACACGAAAGTGAAATCAGATCTCGAGTGGTCCCTAAACATGCCACATAAGCGCTGGTACACTCAAGAGAAGTGAAGTCATGACTGGATCAACTGAGACACATTAATGACGGTAATAAACAGAGCCTTGGAGACAGATCAGATCAGGTTTCATGTGCAGAAAAAGAAACCAAAAAAAAAAACATTCAGGTATGAGAATACACTAAAGCTGAAATAGTCTAAACTTAATGATATTCCAACTTGACAGCAAACAAGACTAAAACATCTGTTACAGTAATTTGGGCTTTAAATACATTTAAGTTTGTAGCAAACAAATATTTAAGTATTTGTTCAATTCAAACCTGAGTGCATGCAGGTGTACGTTACTTACTCCGGGAGGTAGATGGGCACCTGAATAATGGGGTCTGGAGATTAAAATAATAACTTAATGAGTAACATTTTTAAAATAAAAAAGGACAGCAAGCAGCAAAGACTTCTGTGTACAAGAACCTTCTCTTAAGGTCCACTTGATGTCTCCTGTCTGTTTGGAGACGGCGTGCAGACTCCCATCCAGAGTCGAGATGAACAGGAGGGATTCTGGGAGTGTGACTGATTTCACTCCTTCAACCTAAAAAAAAGAAGAAGGAAAAAAAATTCATTCCATCTTGAGTTTGATGAGTTTGAATTTGTGCAAACAGGTGTGTCAGGACTTGGTCGTCCAGATCTGCAGTAAATTGAAAGACAAATAAATTGGACCGTGTTCCTTATTCAGCAGGATATCCTGTTTAAACCACACCCTGTGAAAAGGACTGATGAACTTGTGTGGCTGCTACTGCGGGGTTTAAAAATGTTGAAACTAATCTGCATAGCAAGGATTTAAAATAGTAAGTAAATAGTGTCACGATTTAGCTTTAATCTAAACGTTAGGAAGAGGAAAAACTAATTGTGATGGTCCTGAAAAACATGACTGTGTCCTCCTGTCTGTTTGTGACTCCCATATTTACTCACTGAAGGTTGGATATGAAGGCAAGCCCATTTGTCATATAATAGTTAAACAACATCCTTCAAGCACACACCCATAATTCATCTCTTCAAAAATTAAATGTACTGTCTGGATATCCAAACGGTTATTTTTATCTTATTTTTTATATCTTCTCACTGATTTTGGGTGCAAGTTTCTCCCAGAATGCATGCAGCATGTTTTTGAATATTCTGTTAATAAAAAATAAACCTTTCAACAGACTACCTGTTATAGACAAGACTTGTCGCTGTTTCAACCGTTTTAATACCAACTTTTTAATGTCAATTTTCTGCACTTAAAGAGAAAAAGAAGTGAAAAGGCTGCAACTTTCTGCCTTCGAGGCTTCATATGAAAGAGGAGCAGTTCTGTGTCGAACTGAACGAGTCTACTAAAGATAAACATTTTCTTTTATTCTAAGAAAACATATAGATGAAATTGTAATTTTTTTTTAACTGGACAGGCAAAAATACCTCCAACAAAATGAGTTGAGCAACTCTTGCGTGTTTGTTCTCATTTAGTCAGAACTGGAAGAACTCTGTAGTACGACTTTTTTTGTTTTTTAATCTCTGTCTGAGCGGGCAGAGACCCAGAGGAAGACCCAGGACACGCTGGAGGGACTATGTTTCTCGGCTGGTCTGGGAACGCCTTGGGATTCCCCCGGAGGAGCTGGCCCAAGTGGCTGGGGAGAGGGAAGTCTGGGCCTCCCTACTTAAGCTGCTACCCCGTGACCCGACCCCGGATAAGCAGAAGAAAATGGATGGATGGATTTCTATCTGAGCATAAAACTGCACAAAAGTTGACCGCTACAGTTGAATTAACAACACTGATCGTTCTTTGCATCAATCCTCTTTGCTTAATTCAATTAAATTCAAAAATACTTTATTAATCCCAAAGGGAAATTAAATGTTGTTGTAACTTATTATCCTTGTTTCATTAAGAAATGTTATAGATACTGATGGCTGTAGGCAGGAAGGATCTCTAGTAAAGGTCTGTCCCACAGCAGATCTGAAGAAACTGGCCACAGATGTCGTCCGATCCGTCCAACCAGACTCGGCTGGCCTCTCGGTTCACCCGAGCTGTAGGACCGCCTGAGTGCCAGGCAGAACTCCTCCCCGAACAATGGCCACTCCTCCCAGGAGCGTGCAGAGCTCCTCATCACTGCGGACAGCCATCTGCAGATGTCAGGGGGCAATCCCTGTCCCTCCACTGTCATGAGCCGCGTTTCCTGCCAGCTCCAGGATGTCAGTGGTCAGACATTTCGAGCACTGCCGGCATGTAGACGGGAATGCATCCACTGTGCCTTCTTTGCAATTCATTTGAGATTTGGGGCTGTAGTTGAGATATTATTTGAGCGTTTGAGATGATAATCAGCTGCTCTCCATTGTAAAAAAAAAAAAAAGAACTTGTTGCCATGGCTACGCATTATAACAAATGTCCAAAAGTAAAAAAGTTTCAGTAAAAATCATTCCAGCTGCACAGCATCCGATACCAGAGAATACAACCAACCAAAAAAGAAAAAGTGATTTACAGCCAGAAAAAAAAGAGGAATTAAAGTTTTCAAAAGCAAAACTTTTCTGGAGCTTGGCTTTCAACATGGCAGACAACATGGCAACTTTCTAACAGGAAAGATTTTCATACATAATGGTAACAAAATTACCAAAATTGTTATTAAAAATAGAAAAAAATAAGCTCTAAAAATTGACTAAATATTGTTTGAATATATGTTACAACGGCTTGCCACACTTCAATGAAAACACAACCAAGTTGTGCGCGCGCACAAACGTTAACAAACACGCAGAGCTACTTTCTTTGGACAGTTTTAGACTAAACTAATGAGCTAGCTAAACTTATAAAATGCTCCATCATATTTTTGGCAACTTTACCGCCTGGAGCCTGAAATAAGACGTGGATACCAGTTGCGTAAAAAATAGCACAACATAAACTCAACTGACAACTAACGGTGACACGACACCGTCACCAAGTTTACCTGAAGTGTTTGGCCTTTCGAAAGCAGCAGAAGAGACAGTAGCAGTCGCCCCAGAGCCCCCGTGACCCCCACAGCACTCGGTCTCATATTCCAACACAAACAGTGGAGGTCTAATGCTCCCCAACTAACAACAGAGGCCGAACTCTCTCCTCGGTCCCGGTGTCTGCGTCCGTCAGTCGCATAATCCCACATTCGACATCGTTAACGTCGCGCGCTCAGCTACAATGAGACATTAAAACTATGAATACCGCTTTAAATTAGTGACAAACTCTCATGTCACTTCTCAATGTTTCCGTGTTGGGACGGAATCGGTGACGTCCGGGGAGAGCTGTCCAGCCAAGTGGCGAGGTGAGTGAGTGGCTTGATTGACAGACAAGCCGACCAATCACAGTACGTGTTAAGGAAACAAAAGGGGCGGGTCTGTAGAAACAGCTGGAACACGTGGAAAGAAACAACAGGACAAGTGTAAACTCAACCAGAAAGCCGCATTGTGCAATAGAAAGACGTGGACATTAATTGTATTCCTTTTTTTTTCTCACACCAACAAAGATTAGTATATAAACCAGTATGGAAGCCCATTTCCATCACTAGTGAGAAAAGATTAGCTAAACAATGACGGCCTGCGGGCGAGATATATCATTTTCTCTGGCCCCAGCAATATTTTAATTGTATTAGATCAGGTAAAGGATTGCCAACTCTCTTTTAAAATAAGGAATTGTTCAGTACTTAAAACTAAAAATACTCTTTTCAAATTAAGTTGATAAGGAACTCACTGTTCTTTTTTTATTTTATTTTTTTCATTCAACGTCTATTTATACAGGTTAACATTGAGCCTCGGGGACTCATTTACAAGAGAGACCTGTAAATTGTCTGTAAAATTAAACCTGTAAATTGATTGTCAGGGTAAAACTGTAGTTGAATAAATCAGGTGATCCAGTGATTTTGTTTAATCAGAGCTAAAGAATCAGGTTTTTTTTTCTGAAGGCAGAAATATACTTTGGATCATCAAAGCTACTAAGAAGTTACACTGCTTTTTATCTGTTAAATTGGATTTTTTATTTAAAGTGACAGCAGATTTCAAACACAAACTAGATAAATAAAAAGTTTTGGTGAAATCTGTTGAAGCTAAAACTGAGTTGTTAAACCTAAAAGAAAATGAACACCAGCCAGAAGCAAAAAGTAGAACATTGCTACTAAGAGATCAGACGGGAATGATCAAACTCTTGAGACACTTCCAGCCTAGAAAATACGTCAGACTTGAGTTAATAAGCTTTAATCCATTTTTTACTGTATTCTTATTTTAAAGTTAAATGTTAAAAGCATTATATTCACATTTTTATTGATGTTTTAGTTTAGCTGATTTGATAGATTGTGATTAAAAGTATTAATAGGAAATAATAATAAATGTAAAAACTGATGATTAAAAAGTAAGATATTATTGCCATCTATTTTTTTTCTCATTCTTTCATTCAGTGACTTATATTCTAAATTCCATAAACGTATATACATTTGAAAATAATTGGTAATTTATGCTGTTTAAGAAAATAATAATTATAGCTTGGCCCTTAGATAAGACCAGTTTGTAATTTTGACCCGCTTATATAAGGAGAGCATCTCATTATTGAGATGTTAAGTCAATTAATAAACTTAACAGATAACAAAAGAGAATATTTTTCATCAAAATGGTAGAAATAGGATTCCAAAAACCAACATGGAAACTACACTTAAATTAGTTGTAAATAATTCACTTTGTAACTTATTTACTTTTACATCTCATGGGAATATTTGAATGTGTTATATTTGTTGCCTCTACTGTTAGCTGTTTTACATCTTGGTCATTTTCTGTCAAATTTTTCTGTGGCCTGTTAGTATAAAAATATAACTGTGTTTCTGCCTTAATTCTCCAGAGTGTAGTTATATTATTATTGCACTAATAAACCTGTAGGGTTTGTGGGTTGTTTCCTTAGTGTCTGGCTCCATCTTGTGTTGTGTTTATGTCTTGCGTCTTCAGTCTGTCTTTGGCAGCTGTGATTACTCACAGTGCCTTCACTTTGTCTAATTGGTGTTTCCCGTATTTAAGCCTGTGTGCTTGTCTGTCCACTGGCGATGTCCTTGTGAACTCCTTGTAAGTTTTGCTGACCAGTCAGCCTTTTCTTTTGTAAATAAATACTTTAATTATTCTCCTGAGCCCTCAACTGTCTGCCTGCACCACTGGGTTTACCAGCATCAGCCTCTCACGACAAAACCTTATCTAGTATAATTTTAATCCTGATATATATATTTTTTGTGTTTTAATCTTTGCTTTTACCAAAGTCTTTTCGTGTTGACTTTATATACTTGGTCTTGATTTGTATTTCAATGCCTTCTTGTTAAAATAAAATAATAAAAATTTTACAAGAGAACTGCTGCATCAATTGATTGTTTTATTAATTATGTGGTCTGATAGGTATAATCAGAGATCCTGAGGTTCAACAAAAATTATCAAACACAGGGGACTTGTGTATTTTTATAAGTAGTACTTGGTGTAAATTTCAATAAAACTTAATCATGAATGATTAAAAAGTATTTCAACATGGAGGAAAAAACAGATGTGACAATGCGAAGTATAAACAGGCACATTATGGAAATCAAATAATATATAAAAATGAAAAACTGACAGGCACTTTCTCATTTGACATGTTCAGAATTAGTCAAATAGCATCACAGACTGGCGTTAAGACAGAATCTGGACGAGTACCGGTCCATAATCACAGAGCCTAGGTGGTCTACTGGTGGAGCACGCTGTCAGGTTTGGGGTAGCCAAACATCTCAAAGTCTGGTTCGTACAGCTTGTACAGTTCTTTCCTTTTAGCAACAGGTATCTGTGAAAACCAGTCCTGTTCCCAGCTGGCTTCGGTGCGGTTTCTGGAACCTAAAGGGAAACGCAGGAGGTGATCCACATTCAGCAGCTTGAGAAGGTGCTCCGAGTCTGTTTCCAGAGTTTCTAATCGCCCAATGAAGTCGTATTTCACCTGACATGGGTGGCACAAACGGTACACCTGCAACTCACAGAAATACAGCCAACGATAAAAATCTGATCGATGCAACACCCACACAAACATATTTACCAGTGGAAGTACAGACCTGGACTCAGCTCTATCCCTGTGTTGTTTCTAGAACCCAAATGTTCTTTCGTCACATTTAATTTTTACCAAAATTGAACGTGGTGGCAAGATGGTTGTAGTTGATAGAGCTGCTTCCTCTCAATGAGAAGGTTGCCAGATCAAATCGCAGCCGGGGGCCATTATGGGTGGAGTTTGCATGTTCTTTATGTGCATGTGTAGGTTTTCTCCGGTTTCCTCCCACAGACCAAAAACATGCATGTTAGACTAATTGGCAACTCTAAATTTGTCCCTAAGTGTGAGTGAGAGAGTGAATGGTTGTTTGTCTCATTTGTCTCTTATGTGTCCCTGTGAAGGACTGGAGACCTGTCCAGGTAGTTCCCTGCCTCTCGCACAGTGACTGCTAAATATGGGCACTAGTGACACCCCCCCCCCCCCCCCCCCCCCCCCCCCCCCCCCCCCCGCGCGACCCGAAAAGGAAAAAGCGGGTAAAAATAATGGATGGATGGAAAACTGAATGTTCTTGAATGTTTAATAACATACAATACTGCATCATTCCTGAATTCTGATATATTTTTTGGGCCTGAAGGCAGCCTAACATTCATGTTTGTGGACTGTGGAAGGAAACTGGAGTACACAGAAAAAAAACAATGCAAACACGAGGAGAACATACAAACTCCACACATAAAGACCCCAGGTCCAAACCGCAATTGAACCTAGGACCTTCTTGCGGTGAGGCAACGGTGCTAACCACTAATCCATCGTGCAGCCAAATAATGAAACCTTCTCGACCAGTTTCTTGATTGTTAAAGCACAAATCTGACGCTCACAATCACATCTGTTCAACAATAATGTTATTACAACAGTTTTTTGCATTTTGATGCCTTAGTAACAGTTAATTATTTTCCCTATATAAGTGGGTAATACTTGAAGTTTTAGATGTCCATAAAGACACATAACAATTAATATAAACATAAAAACAAACCAACATTGGATTATAACTATTACAACAAATTAATTATCAAAATGTAAAGCAAAAACAAAATCACAAAATAATAGTAGTAGAAATGAAACATTACAATAACAAATCACCAGAACTTCTTTCTGGGAAGCACGAGAAATTTTAAATCAGCAACACGCATCCTTTGATGCATTGATCTTATACCAGGGCTATTCAACTGACGGCCCGGGGGCCAAATCAGGCCAACGGGTGAGCTCAGTTCGGCTCACCAATGGGTTCATTTTTAAATAAAACTAGATTTTAAACCATAAAACAAATGTACTTAATGATAATAGGTGCTGGATGTCTGACCCCTGCGCTCTTAGCTTTCAGTAACTGTGGTCCCCTGCCTGAGCAGTTTTGTTGAATAGCCCTGTCCTATACTGTTAATAAAACTCGGTACATGAGCTTATTTTCTCCCCTCTGGAGACATACAAATACAATTAAAGTTCTTGTAAAGTCGGCAACAACAAAAAACATTTAAATTTTTAATTGTTAAACTGTGTGTTTGAATTAAGTTGTATTGTGTTTTTTTCAGTGAATACAACTTGATGAACTTGAATCTTCTGATGGTACTTTTGGATTTAAAACCCCTCCAGTCGTGATTACGTGGTGAGGAAGTCCCATCTCTGGACTCATTATACGTGGCCAGTAATCTGATTCAGCATGACTGACGACATTGTGCGTAGCCGTTTATAAAAATATTGATCATTTACATCCTAAGACGTTTGAATCCTACTATACATTTCATAATCAAAATGAGTGAATAGCTTATTTTGGCACACTTACAGGTGAGACAGTCATCTTCAGCACACCAAAACTAATGTATAAACTATAATACACATGTTGAACTGACCAGAACTTGTGTGTGAATTGAGCAGACATTAAAACAATAAAAGAAAAGTCACACTCACATTTAAAAACTCCCATAAAGAATATCAAATAAAACTTTAGTGAAGTTGTGTTTTTTTTATACCTGCCGCCAGTGTTCATTGAAGATGTTCTCCCTCTCCGTCTCAGGATCGACAAGGTATGATATAAATTGATGAAATGTTGGTTTGATTCCTGCTGCAAATGCCTCAGCAGCGCTCTCTGCCAAACCCTCCGACACGTTACCGTAACGATGCAGCATAACCGAACCAAAATGCCTGAAGAAGTCCTCGTTGGGCCTTAACACACAAATGCACACGTGCTTCGTGAATTGATTAAACACAAAAAAATGTAAAAATACAAAACAACTGGACTTTTATTTTGTAGTTGAAGACATGTTGCTTCCTATCCAATGACCTTTCTTAAAGCATAACTGGAGAGAGTGAAGTGTAGTGAGTCACGTGGGTACGTGTCACTTGTTGTATGACAAAAATATGTGGTATATATTTATGCATACTTTTCACGAGTTCTTCATTTTTCTGACTGTAATGTCGTGCATTGAATTTAACAGAAATGTGAACGAGAGACGTTATTATCTTTGACCCATCAAATGAATGGAGTCATTTATTTTCAGAATCAAAGTTTAACATCAAACATTTACATTAATTTGGCAAAATATGAAAATAATAACAGACAGTTTCACAGAAAATGAACTTCAAATCACTCGGCGGTGATTTGAGGACTTTGCTTCAGATATTTCTAAACTATCTGTACTAGTTTTGTGAGAGAGAGGTGAGTTTAAGAGGAAATTGAGATTTATCTTACAGAGGAATATGTGAGGGAATTTAATCTGTTTAACCAGAAATTGCACGCTCCGTCAGGTATCTCAGCTTGTCCCAGGTACACTTTAGTCGAAGAAGAAACCGTTACCTTGTTGACGATCGATCACCTCAGTAAGAATCCTTTTCAACTGATATCAGCGTCTCCGTTGAGAACTGCTAAAATCCTTAGAGAGTCGTGCGTGGGTCGTTCAAACAGAAATTATAATTCCAAACGTCTCTGGATCATCCTGAATTCTCGAATTCTCTTCAGAACTCCTTGAGCACTACATGAGAACTTTTCCATTCTCCATTCCAACTCTCTCTCCCAACTCTTTCTTCACCATTCCAACTCTCTCTAGACTGAATAGAACCGGGAAGTTGTCACATTTTAAATGAGTTTACTTCCGAGTTTACTTCAGAGCTTTCTGATTCGTGGATGGACCAGAAAGAGGTGTGGTTTTTTGACGTAAGTTATTATCAAAAGTCAAGGATTGTTTTCAACATACAGAAAAGATTATTGCAGTCGGCCAGACTTCGTGGAGTCTCACACTTGGTAATCTTTTCAAATAGTAAAACATGACATTTCTTCTTCAGTAAACATTTAGTTGACCGAAGCTTCAACTTTCACACACTTACGACTTGACTCATTTCAGACAGAAAATCAAGAAATGCATATTCAGGTGATTTCTTGTTTGAATGAGGAATAAAAATCATTACTTACTGTTTATGTAAAATAAAAATGAGTAGTTCTTTTCAACCTGTAAAGCATTGAGTGAACTAACACAATTTGATTATCAAAACATTTGTAAGACAGTAATGATTATAGAGGATTGTCTTTTCTGCTTGATTAATTCAAGAAAGAAAGTTCATCAGATGGCTCAGACTCTTTCAGATCAATGAAAATAACAGTCTCTGTCCATCTGGTAGATTTGAGGTCATCTAGTTCACTACAGAAGTTTGAAGCTTTAACCTGCATGAGATGCTCTTGTGTAATCAGTGGTTCCCAACACTGGTTCTTGAGGAACACCATCCCGCATATTAAGTTATTTCTCTACTATAACACACCTGATTCAGTGATTTAATTACTTCCTGAAGTTCTGAGGAAGCCTGTTAATCACCCATTCATTCAAATCAGGTGTGTTGGAGTGAAGAAGCAACTATGCAACCATGCAGGATGGTGTTCCTCAAGGACCAGGGTTGGGAACCACTGACATAGATAAGATAAGATCAGATAAGATAAAACAAGACAAGACAAGACAAGACAAGACAAGACAAGACAAGACAAGACAAGACAAGACAAGACAAGACAAGACAAGATAAGATAAGATAAGATAAGATAAGATAAGATAAGAACTTTATTGCTCCTGCAGGAAATTGTTGTGCCAGAGTTTCGGTACAAAGGAACATACATAGATGCACATGCAGATTAAACTCACTGCCCTCCCAATGGTGAGTCATTAGGGTCTTTGTTTGCCACACTATTGAGGACCAAAATGTTTATATTATGGATAATGAAGACAGATGATTTGAAGGGTGGAGGGGGGGAGCCATTTATGTCAAATCAGAAAAACAACTTTAAACAGAGGAGAAGGTCTCAGGTCTCAGCTTTCCAAGGCCTATAACTCTGTTTTTAGGTGAAATCGAAACAGTTGTGTTGTGTTTCGGCCATTTGTCGACACATTGATTGCGGCCGTATTCTCTGACACTGAAACTCTTTAGATCTAGGTCTCAGAATGGAAGTTTTCTTAAACTACCAACATGGTTTTGAAGAAAAAATGTAACTTATGTGAAAGCACACATGCGCACCTTTGTCTGCAGTCAATGACTATTCTTGTAGTGAACTAAGCCTCAGGTTAAATCCTGACCTTGAGGGCCTTCCTGGGACAAGAACTGTATTTCATTGATTTGAGTCCAGAAACACAAAATCAAGTCCATCCAGAGACTTTCTAAGTGTCCTGCACTTAGTTCAAACCATTTTAAATGTTGAAGTGAACTACTCATTTTAAATCAACTGTGAAACAGTATTAATGATTTTTAATCCTCATTCAAAGTAGAAGTCAAGTTAAGGTCTGTTACAGAGTAATTATTCATTTTCTTGATCTTCTGTCTGAAATGAGCAAGTGTAAGTTGGTCAAAGGTCAAGTTTCGGGCAACTACAAGTTTACTGGAAAGAAATGTCATGTTTAACTTTTTCAGACAGATATGAGAGAACTGACTCCACGAAGTCTCGGGTTCTTCAAAACATCTTCTGTCTGTTCTTAAACAATCTAATCTTTTTCCCTTGACTTTTAATAACCTCTTACATCACTAAAACACACCCCTGATTAGCGCTTTCAGCCAATCAGGACTTCCCAAATGAACTGGAAACAGAACTCTTTAAATGTCGACACTTCCTAGTTCCATCCAGTGCGGTGGGAGAGCAGTTCGGTTCGGAGAGCAGAACCGAACAGAAAAGTGCTGGAGAGAACAGGAGGTTCCAGACATGATCCGAAGTTCTTCCGAGTCTCGTGGGAATTATGGAATCTTCCACATCTGAGTGGAACCTCTGACGGACTTACTCCTCATATGAGTCCACCCGGGAGGTGAACGTGCTGTTGAACGAAGTACCGGCACTACTCCGAACGGTTCTCTGCTATCCTTACGGAGACGCTGGAAAGCGTTGAAAGAGAACTCTACACCGAGGCCGAACTATCGTCTGCAAGGTAAAGAGTCGATCTTCAACTGCGAAGTGTACCGTGGGATAAGCTGGGTCCAAAGGAGCGTGTTGTTCTGGTTATACAGACACATATTCCCTCATCCATCCTTTCTCTCCATTTAAACTTCATTTCCATCTTTAAAACTCTTCTATCTTGCCAGTAAATCATCCAGATATTTTCATAAATGTCTGTTGTAAAGCGGCAAGCAGATACCATGGCCGTATGGTCTCTGATTGTAAAGCTAATTAATTAAGCTGTTATTGTAATCAATGTTGCCAAATTAATGTAAATGTTTGATGTTAAACTTTGATTCTGTTAATAAATGACCGCATTCATTTTTGATGGGTCAAAGAAAATTAACGTCTCACGTCACATTTAATTATTCAATGCACGATAGAATTCAGTCCAGAAAAATGAAAGAATCTGTTTAATTTATGGATAATATCTCACAGATATATGTTCCATTACATTCTGCGCAAGCAGATCAACAACAGTAGCAATGGCTGATAGCAGAGTGCTGTTTGTGCTGCTCTCTCTTCAATTTATTGGAGACTTTCACACAAATATATGAGCTACACCGTCTGCTTGATCTGTAAAAACACATTTTCCCATTCTATGAATATTGAATGAGCCTGTAAGGCAAAGGAGAAGGACATGACCTGGGAGGACAAGCAAGTGGTGGGATACCTTTGTAAAGGACGATGTGCAAAAATCACAGCGCCAACTAGTGACCTGACATGGAAACTACAGCAGGTTCGGCATATTTTGCAGTCTGGTCTAAACACAATTACAGCACAGCCGTGTCAACCAGCAACGTTTGTACAATCAAAGTTGGAAAATATACAACGTTTGCAGGAGACAGTTAATGTGTAAACTGGATCTTAAACTTACCACTTCTTTCAGAAAATTTTGAATAAAGTAGATGCCATTTCCTGCATTCTGGTGTATTTTAACAGGTTGTTAAACATCTACGTTTACCTCTATTTGTAAACACTTGCTATTTTAAGAGAGCAAAAAGAAGTAGCCTGACCAACAGCTCTCTCCTTGTGTGAATAGAGCACACTCCTTCTCTTAAGCATTCTAACACCCCCCCCCCCCCCCCAGGGGTGGAGATTTTTTAAGGGTAGAAGCAGAAATGCTTACTTGAAGGGGGTGGGGCAGCTCTTATGTGATATTAAGAAGATCGTATGTAGCTGTTATGTTTAAAATTAGTGTTTATATAATTATTGTCAGATTACATATCAAATATGTGTTTTATTTGTTGAAGGCAGTCACATTTGTTCATAACTTTATTATTAGTAAAGCTGAGATTTACCGGATCCAAGTAAACAGTTACCAGAACGCACCCTTTCAAAATAAGAGTTCTCAGATCCTGTTCGGTAAGAATCCAGCTCAAATTAAGCCCTGCCTAGATAACTTGGAGTCTACACAAGCAACTTATTAAATAGGTGACAGAATTACTGTTTTAAATTACATGTAAAAATCAAACATTTTCCAAAAACAAATGTTTATGCTCAATAAATACACACCTTCCAAACTTGTTCCTGAAGGCGGAGATCAGGCGCACAAAGGGGTCTCGAACAAACAGAAACTTTGTGTAGTGCTGGAGCTTGAGTGCCATCAGGTGGCGGGACAGTGAACCATAGTGTCGCCAAAATCTGCCAAAAAGAAAAGAAAACTTTCTAAGTTGGAGCTGCTTTTTACAGTTTTGTAGTTTGCCAGCTCAGTAAAATAGTTTAAATATTCTGTGACCACGCATGATTACAGGAAAACAAAATCAAAGTATTTCAAAATGGAGGTAAAGATGCATGTTGTGTAACGCTGCAGACTGAAAGAACGCGTTCAGCTCCCGGTGGAAGAGAATGGACCACTTGTGCTCTGCCTCTTCCAAGTCTCGACTCACTAAACGTGCCTTTTAACTCACTGACAGCTTGTCATACAGCTGTAGTAAAATTTCACATCTAAGCACTATGATGGAAGCATTCCTTCTCTATATGAGAACTATTACACATCAAAAGCCGCGAGCCAAATCTGGTCCCCCAACACGATAATTTAACGTAATACTGGATATCTGTTCATTTTTTCTTTAAAACAACTGATAAAGGCATCATTTAGTGTAGACTTCTCTTGCCAGCTGGCTAACGTTGAGGCCAGAAAGACAGCTGGATCATTCTGTCATTACTGATTCTGATGTGGAAAAAGCAACAGAACATCAAGTGAGACAGATCAAACTCGTGTTCGTGAACCTGCAACCAAGAAAAAATACCGGGTATCTGACTCAAGTTGATGTATCAGCTGAAAGCGGCCCGTGACTTGGACAAAGTTTTTAAATTTTAGCTCCTTTTGGTAACCGAGTTCAACATCCCTAGCTGTGTGACCCTGGATGAATACTCACCTGCTTTTATGTATCTTGGTAAACCTTTCTAAACATTGGAATGATTTGTCTTAGTTTCTACCTATGACATGGGATGAGGCTATTAAATAAAATGTATTTACTGGGTTTCATAAAAATACATTCATGTGTACTAGATCTCATACTTAGCAAAGGTGAGGTGGAGGGACGAGTTGTGTACCAGGTCAGCAGGCACAGTCTCTGGGTCAGTGTAAGGTTTTCCTGTGGAGGGGGAGACCAGAGACTGAGACAGGACCACCATGACTCTCTTCCAGTTGGTGCATGCTACCTGAACAAAGAGCAGCCATGGGAGACAGTAGAAAGAAAAAGTGTGAATCATTCAGAAATAACAGGAAACTAAACATGTGTGTGTGTGTGTGTGTGTGGGGGGGGGGGGGGGTTGTAAGCAGTGAAACAATGAATTGTTGACTTTTTAAGACCCGATTGTTTTCTGGGTTGTGTTTTTAACGTAGTTCACAGACAAGAGATTTTTTTTTTTTTGTGATCCGTGGAGCCAAAACGAGTCAGAACGATCACATGAGTGAACGACATCACCCGACTAGGCCTGTCACGATAACAAATTTTACTGGGCGATTAATTGTCTCAGAAATTATTGTGATAAACAATAATACTGTTTGAAATTTGACCATAATTAGTAATTATGGTCAAATTTAAGAGGAAATGTTGGTAATTTGTTTTGTGTGTAGTACCTTTTTTGACCACTGGATGGCAGTATAAGACTGTTTGAACCGAAGGATGGATAGTGAGGGAGCGAGCAGTGTGTCTTTAAGAAAATGGGAGGGAGGCCCCTTGACGTGACATGAGCTGTCTCTCGTTTCTGTTTTTCGGTTCTCAAAATGGTGGACGCTCGATGTGGTTTGAGCTCTTTAGTATAGAATTTGTCACACAACGCTTATAATAAAAAAAAAAATCACTAAACAATTTCTCAGCTATTTTTTGCAGAGAAACTTAGGCACGGTTTCAACCATGAATTTTGGAGCATCGACAAGACGGAGGTTTTTCTCCTGAGGTCGGCCTGTTAGCTTAGCTCGTAGCTTAGCGTTTCAGCTTAGCTGCTTTAAACGATCCAAAAACGCAAATTTGGATGGTTGAAATGGATTTTAAAGAGGGGGGGAGGGGTCAGTGAAGAGCACCGGAGTTGAGCCTTTTGTCATCCAGTGTCTTCAGTAGAAAGAGAGATATGAAGAAACAATAAAGCCGATAAATGAAAATGAGGTTGATAATTTTCATTTATCATGTGATTAATTGATTTATTGTTTATTGCGACAATAAAAATCCATTTTTCTAACTGGCACTCTCGTACGCATAACTAGCTTATCGTCAGGACAGGTGATAAAAAAGAAAATTTCAACAAACTACGTATCATTTTGAAGCTTTTGGGATGGAGAATTTGAAAATAATACTTTAATGTTGAAATATTCCTCATTGTGACTCCATCTGGCAGCACAAATCATAAATGTTGCTTTCAAGAAGCTAGACTGTTTTGTAATCTTTTAAAAGATTGTTAAAAGACTGTAATCTTTTAAAGTGGTCTTCATCAGTAGTTCCTCAGACTTTTTGAAGGTCTTTCAAATCTTTCAGTGCTTTTTTTTTTTTTTGGGGGGGGGGGGGGGGGGCTTCTTTACACTTATGTTCTGACCATATTGTGCAGTGTGTGCTGCGACTGCTGACAGACTAGTTGGCGACTCAAAAAGGCAGGAAAATTATGAGAAAATATGCAAAACTTCAATTTTCAGTTTCACTGAACTCTTGAGTGTTTGGGTGACCAGCCAGCTGGGAAGATACGCGAGTCACCGGTTTTTCAAAATCACAGTTTGTTTTGTGTGCATGGCTTGTAAAACTCTATAATTGCCCATGCAAAGTACTGTATTTTGTTGCCCACCTCTGCCCACATTGTACCCGCCTCGTCTCGTACCCACATTAGACACTCCCCACATTTATGATTTAATCTTCTTGAGTACGCATTTAAATGGCGATAGGCGGATTTGGAGCAGCTTTTCAATCACTAATAATTATCACTAATGTGGTTTTTAGATCTGGGCATTTGCCCAGGATGTTTACAGACAGAGGAGAGCCATAAAGTTGTCAATATACAGCTGTAAGGCTCCTAAAGCACCTGCAGCAAAATTTAGATGATGGGTTGGAGACGCTCATGACGACTTTGTGACTATGTTGGGAGAAAAGTTGTCGAATAAGTTGAGCATGGAAAAACTTTGACTTGAATAATTTTGAACATGGTTAAAACTCAAGCGACAGAAGCTTAAGCGAGGACGATGAGAATCTGTCACAACATATTTTGGAGACTCCCTCTTCAGTGCCGTTTGCCAACTAGCCGCAGCCCAGTGGGATATACCAAGTTAAAGAAAATGACCAGCTGAAGTGTCAAGACAAAAAAAAAAACCTATCTACAGCAGATAAACAGTATCTGAAAGTGACATCTGTCTAAACAAAAACAAAAATGTCTCTATGAAAAAAAAAATCCAAGTATTTGAAAACTGAGGGGAAAAAGCAGTCGAAAGAAAATCCTTGAAAGACCTTCAGAACACTGAAGAACTATGGATGAAGATAAATTTAAACTATTACAAAGATAGTTTGGTTCACGAGAAGCTTAAAACAAAGGAGTGCCTCAACACTTTTGCCCAGTTCAATCTATTGGTAAATAGCAGTACAGTGGTAGTAGTACTTGTATAAATTATCAATAACATGATCACATGAAAACATCCACAGAGCAGCTGTACCTTAGGAACGTAGCAGTAGATAATCTGATGTGTGTCATCCACAATTAGGTGATCCAATTCCCTGATGGGGATCTGTTCAAACGCTCGAGTCCGTCCTGGAAAATCCACAGCGCCCTTTCCTAAACACACATCCATGATCCTTTGCTTTCTCACCTTTTGTTCACCATCATCAGCAGTCTTTACCCCCTCATACTCTGATTCCTTCTTCTTTTGCTCCACATCTGTAATTTTCTGAGCTGCTCCTTTTGAGATAAGTGTAGCTGCAGACGCGGTGGTGTAGACGGTAATAGGGGGACGGGGCCGTGTTCGATCAGTGGACACGGACAGAGGAGAAACTGCAGTAATGTCGGTGCAGCAACCGGACTGAGCGAACTTGTGTTTCAGCTCCTGAATGGGGTAGAGGCTGAAGCCTCCAACGTCGTCCCAGTAGACGATGATCAGCAGGATGACGAACAAAGAGCCGAGGAGGAAAGCCACCCGCAGTCTGTGCCATGCTCTCATGGCTGTGCTGCATCAGAAACTGTGATTGGTGCAACAAAAAGGGAAGCGGTTATCTCCGGTCCATCATGGTCCTCTATTAGACAGAAGTTGACACTTCCTGCTGGGTAGCTGCAATTAAAAGAAAGAGGAAATGCAACTGAGGTTTGTGTTTTTTAACAAAAAGTTGCCTAATTTAGAACGCTAAAAAGAAAACAAAAAGTACAGCATGGAAGCAAAAACAGTAATGACAGGTTAATTACCGAGATTGGGGGGGTTGTATTTATTAATTTATTTTTAACTCAATATGCCACATGAGATATGACTGCTGGTATGACTGTAGAACCACTAGACTGAGGAACAGCTTCTACCCTGAAGGTTTAAGACTCATAAATCCCTAACTGGGAAAATCACTGTAATCCCACTTTAATTGGACAGTTGACACTTTGTGCTGCTGATTATCCATGCTGCTGATTTCTTACCATATGCTGCTGTATTCATATCCATCTGCTCACAACAGACTCATGTTCAGGCTGCTGTTTAGTATACTGTTTTATATTATATTAGCGTATATTTTAGATCCTTGTATGTTTATTTTTTATAGTTTATATTACTTTTAGGTGTAACTGGGATCTTGAGTACACAATTTTGTTCCACCTCATGTACCACATGTGATGACAATAGTCATCTTATACATGACAAAAGTCATGTGGGGAGTGGTGGCGCAGAGGTTAGAGAGGTGGGCCTGTGATCGGAAGATCGCCGGTCCATGCCCCAGTACCGACAACATTAAAAATGTGGGTGGGGTAGGTGAAGCAACCACACTTGCCCCCACACTCATTCGCCCCACTCTGGGTCCTTGAGCAAGGCCCTTAACCCCCATCTGCTCCCCAAACAGGTCTCTCTTGAAAATGAGTTCTCGTGGCTCAATGAGACTACCTGTGTAAATAAAGGGTAAATGAAAAAAAATCTTGAACCTTGTTCCCAGGCAAGGCCGGATTTACCATACGGGCAATCTGGGCACATGCCCAAGGGCCCTTGGCACAGAGGAGCCCTCTGCCGACAGAGGAGATGAGGCACTCTTCCCCTCATCCATGCGACATAGCACTATGAGGGAGGATGGTGAAGCAGCTCACAAGAACGGTCGCGATGGAGCAGAGTGAATTTCCGTTTTTTTCAAAATAAAACACAAAACCCGATAAAATTCACGTGTCCACCTTATTCCTGGTGCCTTATTCCGTGATATGTGCAGCGACAACGAAAGTTTACGAAGAGGTAAAAACATTCAACCAATGAAATCACAGGCGAACTTTCATTCCAGCCAATCAGCGTCTTTTGGAGTTTCAGCGCTAACGTGTGAAGAAGCTAAGTAGCTACAAGCAAACTCCTTGGCTTCTATTGCTTTTCCAAGCTTTGTTACTGCATATTTCATGGCATACCGAGGAATATTTGGCGTTGTGGATTTATCACAGAAGTTTACGGTCGTACGACGTCAAACAATGGTGGTAAGTAAGATAATCCCACGACATGTAGCCGTTTTTATCATGCTAGGTGTTAGCAATAGCAGTAGTGCTCAGTGTATATCTGGATGGTCAAAGGAAAAGTTTACAAGACATCGGTGAGACCAGCTATGTTGTATGGTCTGGAGACAGTGGCATGGACAAAAAGACAGGAGAAAAAACTGGAAGTGGCAGAAATGAAGATGCTGAGGTTCTTCTTAGGAGTGACAAGGATGGATAATAAGATTAGGAATGAGATCATCAGATGAACAGCACGGGTAGAACAACTGGGAGATAAAGTTAGAGTCCAGACTGAGATGGTTTGGACATGTCCAGAGGAGGGACAGTGATTTGGATATGTCCAG